AGCCCTGTCCGCTCAGCGGGACAGGGTTCATTAACGCCCCCCACCACAGACTCTGACTGCCAAACTAATGACGGGTGAATTCAGACGGGCTGCAGCCGAGGGCAAACCCATCATGTGCACCAGATGTGTGTGATGAGTTTGCCAAAAGAAACACTGATGGAGAAGAGGCTGGGAACAAACAACCTGCAGCTTATTTTACTGGGATATTAAGAGACTGTCAAGAAAACCTGAGATCATCCCACTTCCCCATGCTGGAGATTTTAGTTTAACAGTAACAATAAATAAAATTACCTTTGAAAATAATCACACAAGGGACATCGAGACCCAACAGTAGACTTCGACTTCAATAAAACCAACCTGGTTGTGTGTGTTGTTTTTGATTTGAAACCAGGCGAATCCTTTCTCGATGCCAGCTGGGTAAATCCCAGCAGATTTAGGAAGCTCAATTCACCCGTTAGACAGAGAGCTGGTAGCACAGGAAGCAGAGACTGAGAGAGTATAGAGTGAAGGAAGAGGGGGGAGAGTGGGGGGGGGTCGCACAACGACAGACATAGCGACACAAAGCAGGACAATATAAGGAAGTGAGTTGTCAGTCAGTTTCCAGACGGGCATCGCATCTCACTGTCAATGCACTCCTATTATGACACAAGGTGGTGGTAGCATCATGCTTTGGGCATGCTGTCCATCAGGTCCCACTGAGGTTCAGTTATTTGCCACACCTAAAATGCTTCCTGCAGTGCTGCTGCATGTGGCCTCAGTACAGTAACGGTTGTAACGTGTTTTGGAAATTTCATGGAATTCTAAACTTTTGCCAGTCGCTGTACTTTCAAACCTGCTTCGTAAAACAAAATATTCTCAGCTCAAACTAGAAGAGGAGTGATTAAAAGTGTTGTGTCTCTGAAACTGTCCTTCCTCATGATGGTAAATGTGTGTTTGTTTAGGTCCAACATGCGCTGACCTCCATGACCCCTGCGAACACAGCAAGTGCCACCGGACATCGCAATGCAAGGCGCTACCTGAAGGGGGCTATAAATGCGAGTGTCCCATGGGACGAGAGGGGAAGCACTGTGAGAGAGGTAGTGTACTGCAGCAAGCATCTTTCTTCTTCTCTGTGCGTGTTCACCGACGTTTCCTCTCGTCTTTTACTGAACGGGAAGCATGAAAGGTGCAAACCTGCTGGCATTGGGGCAATGTGAGGTTCTGCTGCGCTGCTCTGCAGAGGATGATTGGCCCCGTTGGGCCGATCACCACATCCACTCCGGTACGCTTGTTAGTGAGGAAGCAGAGACGCTCCGTTCCTCCCTGCCTGCCGCCCACAGGTGTTGTTCTCCAGCTCGTTGTTGGAGTGTAGCTCCCGCTGCTGGGACTGCACAGCGCTGCCGCTGCCTTTGAAGTTCATCATTAGAAGTTTGGGCAATGTCGCGTTATGAAGTTTACTTATGTTCTTCCCTCCCTGTAGATGTTGTCATGAATGCTGCAAATTAAGGAGAATATGGTGTCATGCTCTCTCCAAACAAAGGAGAATCCAGCCACCAGCCTCTGGGAGTAAAAGGAGACCAGATAGGAGTATCCTCCATCTTCTGAGCCTCAGTTAGCGGATGATTAAAATAAATCGAGGTGAACAAAAATCGATGCTGCGTGAGCATGAGCTACTCTCATTCCAAAAGGCTATTTTTACAAAGGAATCAATGAGATGACTAATCGCATCAATCCTCCTGCTCACGGTGATTAATGGCAGCGTCAGTCAGCCAGAGTGGCAGGCAGCACCAGGGCCCATAAGAACCCAGTCAGGTCCCTATGAGGCTGCCTGCTCTCAGCTACAGAGTCTGCTCCTCACCTGAAGGTGAACTTACTCACGATGGGACACGTGTGTGTGTGTGTGTGTGTGTGTGTGTGTGTGTGTGTGTGTGTGTGTGTGTGGTGTGTGTGTGTGTGTGGGGGGTGTGTGTGTGTGTGTGTGTGGGGGGGGGGGGGAGTGTGTGTGTGTGTGCGCACGCTAAGCTAGAATCTCTATTGTAATGGGACCAGGTTCGTCAGTGCAGTTCGCTGCTTGATTCATTCACAGTGGAGGCTTTTGAACTGAATCACCTCCTTTCCTTTGTGCTTTCACCCTGTGTTAATGTTTTTAGAAAGATGTGAATTTAAAGCAGACCTTTCGAGTAGAGATGGACCAATTTATCGACCAGCTGATTTATCTGTGCCCATTTCCTTAATTTTGGGAAAGTGGTGATCGGCTGATATTTACATCTTAACCATCTAATTTATCAGCCTCAGCAAAGACATTTTAATCAACTGTTTTCTTCTTCTGCTCTGCTGTGAGAGAGGTTTGACTAACAGACCGGCCCACCAGGTAAGATCTGTGTGTTTGGAGTTAACGGTAGTCATCTCACTGTTGACAACTCATTAACGTTCTTACTACGTTTAGCAACATTTTAGACAAAAAAATTATCGCCCAAGATTGGAATCAGCAGATCAGTGTTTTTAATAGATTAGCCATAAAACAGTGCACCCCTCCTCCAGGGGAGTTTTGGCTCCTACTGGGTTCCAGGTGCTATATTTGCTGCACAAATGAAATGTCTCTGTTTCTGTGTGGATCTCAGCATGTAACTGGCCTACAGACACAAACACCTTACAAAACCTTACATAGTTTGTCATGTCATGGTGGGTTTTCTCTTTGCTGTTGTGTCATTAAACCAGAATAAAGATAAAACGTCCGCTTCATGTGTTCTGCCTTTGATGACATCATTATGGGGTGGGGTCGTTATCTGCATGTTTTTAATCCAATAACCAAATATGAAAAGTGTTTCAAACCTCTGGGTTGCACCTTTGCTCCACCTGAACAGACAGACAGACTAACAGTCTCTGCAGCCGGCATACTGTCTGGCCGCGCCGCACCGCGCTGCATCACATGCTGCTTCAGATGCTGCTTCAGATGCTGCATCAGATGCTGCTTCAGATGCTGCATCACATGCTGCTTCACATGCTGCTTCAGATGCTGCTTCAGATGCTGCTTCAGATGCTGCTTCAGATGCTGCTTCAGATGCTGCTTCAGATGCTGCATCAGATGCTGCTTCAGATGCTGCATCACATGCTGCTTCAGATGCTGCAACAGATGCTGCTTCAGATGCTGCATCAGATGCTGCATCACATGCTGCTTCAGATGCTGCATCAGATGCTGCTTCAGATGCTGCTTCAGATGCTGCATCAGATGCTGCTTCAGATGCTGCATCAGATGCTGCATCACATGCTGCTTCAGATGCTGCTTCAGATGCTGCATCAGATGCTGCTTCAGATGCTGCATCACATGCTGCATCACATGCTGCTTCAGATGCTGCATCACATGCTGCTTCAGATGCTGCATCACATGCTGCTTCAGATGCTGCATCACATGCTGCTTCAGATGCTGCTTCAGATGCTGCATCAGATGCTGCTTCAGATGCTGCATCACATGCTGCTTCAGATGCTGCTTCAGATGCTGCATCAGATGCTGCATCACATGCTGCTTCAGATGCTGCATCACATGCTGCTTCAGATGCTGCATCAGATGCTGCTTCAGATGCTGCATCAGATGCTGCTTCAGATGCTGCATCACATGCTGCATCAGATCCTGCTTCAGATGCTGCATCAGATGCTGCATCACATGCTGCTTCAGATGCTGCATCACATGCTGCATCAGATCCTGCTTCAGATGCTGCATCACATGCTGCTTCAGATGCTGCATCAGATGCTGCTTCAGATGCTGCATCAGATGTTGCTTCAGATGCTGCATCACATGCTGCTTCAGATGCTGCATCAAATGCTGCTTCAGATGCTGCATCACATGCTGCTTCAGATGCTGCTTCAGATGCTGCATCAGATGCTGCTTCAGATGCTGCATCACATGCTGCTTCAGATGCTGCATCACATGCTGCTTCAGATGCTGCAACAGATGCTGCTTCAGATGCTGCATCAGATGCTGCATCACATGCTGCTTCAGATGCTGCATCAGATGCTGCTTCAGATGCTGCATCACATGCTGCTTCAGATGCTGCATCACATGCTGCTTCAGATGCTGCTTCAGATGCTGCATCAGATGCTGCTTCAGATGCTGCATCACATGCTGCTTCAGATGCTGCATCACATGCTGCTTCAGATGCTGCATCAGATGCTGCTTCAGATGCTGCTTCAGATGCTGCATCACATGCTGCATCACATGCTGCTTCAGATGCTGCTTCAGATGCTGCATCAGATGCTGCTTCAGATGCTGCATCACATGCTGCATCACATGCTGCTTCAGATGCTGCATCAGATGCTGCATCACATGCTGCTTCAGATGCTGCTTCAGATGCTGCTTCAGATGCTGCATCAGATGCTGCTTCAGATGCTGCATCACATGCTGCTTCAGATGCTGCTTCAGATGCTGCTTCAGATGCTGCATCAGTTGCTGCTTCAGATGCTGCATCACATGCTGCTTCAGATGCTGCAACAGATGCTGCTTCAGATGCTGCATCAGATGCTGCATCACATGCTGCTTCAGATGCTGCATCAGATGCTGCTTCAGATGCTGCTTCAGATGCTGCATCAGATGCTGCTTCAGATGCTGCTTCAGATGCTGCATCACATGCTGCATCACATGCTGCTTCAGATGCTGCATCAGATGCTGCATCACATGCTGCTTCAGATGCTGCATCAGATGCTGCTTCAGATGCTGCTTCAGATGCTGCATCAGATCCTGCTTCAGATGCTGCATCACATGCTGCTTCAGATGCTGCATCAGATGCTGCTTCAGATGCTGCATCAGATGTTGCTTCAGATGCTGCTTCAGATGCTGCATCACATGCTGCTTCAGATGCTGCATCAAATGCTGCTTCAGATGCTGCATCACATGCTGCTTCAGATGCTGCATCAGATGCTGCATCAAATGCTGCATCAGATGCTGCTTCAGATGCTGCATCAGATGCTGCTTCAGATGCTGCATCACATGCTGCTTCACATGCTGCTTCAGATTCTGCATCACATGCTGCTTCAGATGCTGCTTCAGATGCTGCATCAGATGCTGCTTCAGATGCTGCATCAGATGCTGCTTCAGATGCTGCTTCAGACATCATGTAGGACTTTGAGAAGTTGATAGTTTGATAGGCTGTAAGACACTTGAGAAAGAGAGAGAGAAATGCTTTGTTCCTCTTAAAGTGTCTCAAGCTGATGAAAGTCAGCAGAAGCTGCAGCTTCACCATCCATCTTGGATCAGCTCTGTCTGCCATGTTGGTTCCTAATGTCAGAGAAATCCACCAGTGGGAATCTATGCTTCATTGCCCAGATGTGTTTTTATTGTCAGTGAACATTTAGTAAGTGGATAAAAATACCCCATTGGACTTCAAGAGGTAAGAATTTGAGCTTTGGTTCTTTGTTATGGCCTCTCTTGGTTTATTGGGTTTTGATGGCTTTGCTGCAATTACTAAGGATATAACCCTTTACTGAAGTCGAGCATAAACATTGACCTCAGTGAAACAGGTTCGTTTTGCTCATTAATCTGACATTTTAGAAAAAGGTTGCATAGAAAAACTTCTGCTTATCCAACTTTTTTCTTCTTCTTTTTCTTCTGCTCTGAGCCGATGTGTGTTTTCCTAATACTGACTGAGCTCTTGTGTCTTATTGATCCTTGTATCGGACTGAGTAAATGGGTGAAGAGGAGAAAAAAAAACGCACACACACTGCTTGAGAAAGTAAATTGTGAGTCTCTTTTCTTGCTCCAGTGGAGTTTAGTTTAGCAAAGAATTTAGTTTGTTCCTATTTTTGCCCCTCATTTCCATGGTTGGTGCCATTGTAATTAGCAGTCTTCTGCACAATAGCTAATTAGCTTTCTCATCTCAGTTTTCCTCCTCCAGTCTGACTCAACTCTGCTAATCCCAGCCAATTACAAATAAAAGCTGCCTTACCAGCTGCAAAGGTGTCTGCGTGTTTCTGTGAGTGTTTAGGAAATGCTGTGGCGCTGAAAGACGGTGTTTTTTTAAACACTTCCCTCTGCCTTCGGGTGACACGTGAATGATTTTTAATGTCAGGCCACTTGTCAGAAGATGGCTCGATGCCTGTCTTAATGAGTCCAGACAGCCAGGCGGAGGCACGTCGCAAAGACATGAATTTGCAAAAAGCCCTGCCAGAACACAATAGCTCCATTATTTCCCAAGGTCCCAGATGTGTGTTAAACTCTCCATGTCTGCGGAGCTCTTTGTCATCCAGTGGCATGCTGTGTAATCGCTCTCACATGAGTATTTCTGGATTTTTGTTTTCTTGTCTTTTTTTTATCTCTGTAGAGAGAAAGTCTTAATCCCAGGGGCTCGTCGCACACACACATCCATCTCTGACAGGTTTCCCTCAAAGATGTGCCGACTGTCCCCGAATTTTAATTCTGCCGCCAACAGAAGGAGAGCAGGTCGTAGGTTTGATTGTGCGTGTATTTGTTTTGCAGTGGCTGAGCGTAGCGGCGTTTACATGCCTCTGTTCAGCGGAGACTCATACCTGGAGCTCAAGGGGCTTCATCTCTACGGGCATGATCTCCGGTAAGTCCCATGTCTCAGTGTGAAATCTGCACGGCGTTAGATGAATATTACGGATAACACCGAACATGGTGTAGTTTTTATAGTTCCAACAGCTCTGTGCCTGGGGCAGAGAAGGAGCTCATGCTTCTTTAAGACTGAGCTGAATTCATAATGAAGATTACACGACTAACCTTGCTTAGGCTGCAGCTTCTTGGTAGCTCTACAGGGTGTGATAACATGGATGTGTCTGTTCCTTACATGTAGTCAAAAGTTCAGCATGATGCTGGTTCTCATGGCCAATGACTCCAACGGTCTGATCTTCTACAACGGACAGAAGTCTGATGGAAAGGGAGACTTCGTCTCTCTGTCCCTGAGCAATGGCTACTTAGAGTTTCGCTACGATCTGGGAAAGGGACCGGCTATTATCAGGTCCTGTCACGTCAACAGAAAAACATCTGCAGCACGTCAATGTTTAGGTTATAAGAAGGCTGCTTTCTGACGTCCAGTGTGTGTCTTTGTGTCGTTCAGGAGTAGGGACCAGATGCAGCTGAAGGTGTGGAACACCATCAAGCTGGAGCGCTCCCTCCGCAAAGGCGAGATCCGGTTGAACGAGAAAGCAACTTCAGGAGAGTCACCGGTAAGAAACTGCAAGCTAACTGAGCAGCCAATCAGCATGCAGGACCATTGGACATGTGGTTAGCCATGCTTCTGCCATGCATACTCATCTGTGTGCTTCAATCCATCAGTGCCGCATTCTTGGCTTTTTGCTGCTTCTGTTTTTAATTTGCAGTGCTGCTCTTAGGCACAATGCCATTTCCTAGCAGCTAACATATCAATATGTACAATATTCTAGTTACAAAGGACTGCTTGGACTCAGAATTTAAAAGGTGTTGGATGTTTCATTCTCTGCATTCACTCTCAGCAAGGCAGTTCGACTTTTGATTTTTCTTAATCCATAGTGACATCAGAGCAACATTAATATGCCCAGATATGTCACATATCTCAACAAATGGACTGCAATGCCAGACCAGAGCGTACCGTAGTGACTGCAGCAGAAATGAAAAGCAGACATGTCTCAGCGTTTGAGGAAGTTTAAATAGTTTGTTACATTTATGATGTCATTTGAATTGAAAACATCAAACTTTTAGCTTTCATCATCCACTATAGAATTACACATGATTCTAGTAATCAATTATTTTAAAGATTATTCTGATGATTAATCAGGCAAAAAAAATCTGATTCTTTAACCCCTTAAGCTGATTTTATACAATTTTAGAAAAACAATAAAGGATACCAGTAAACAAACAATCCAATTCCTTTTGTAACTAATAAACATTTTTGCCTATATTGCAGTAACAGTTTTCCTTTAGTGTATAATTGATCATTTGTTGCAAACGATGCATTTCTGATTAAAAAATCTTTCTAACATGTGAAAAGTACTCCACTTTCGGCTAGATTCAATATCAACATAGATAATGGCTAATGTGCTGATTATTCTCTGGATTAAATGATTCATAATTGGATCACAAGAGCTGCTTATTAGGAAATATTTTAATACAACTTGAATTAAGCCACCTGAGGGATTCTGGGTAAAACATGTTGGTTTTTCCATCTTAAATGTGAAATGTATCGATTTTTGTTATAGTTTTGGTTTAACTACCTCTTTGAGTGTTTTATCTGAGTCTCTATGCTAAAGTTAACAATTAATTGATCACCAAGTTAGTTGGCAATCATTTCAATAATCGATTCATCATGATTGATCGTTTCATTCACACAAACAGAATACTGTTGTTAGTGCAACGCGTTGAGCACTACCATCTGAACAAGTTTGAGTTTCTGATCAGCTGAAACTATCTCCGTTTGTCTGAGCGAAGGAAAGGCCTAAGTGTTCGGCTGACTCAGATCTGAGAGCTTTACCTCTCTGCCTGCTTAGCTCGCTCGTCTCCAACAGATAAAACCCAGAGCTACATTTACTGCTGGTTTACAGTCAATTTGATCAAATTGTGCCTTTGCAGTGGCATTTGGGGAAGAGGAGGCAGATAAAGGAGAGATATCAGCAGCAACAGGGGCATAATGAAATTTCTGAGCTCATTGCCTCAACCAATAAACAGAAAGCAGCCTCTAAATAAAGGTGATCTAATCGCTGGATAAGTCTCTAAGTCTTCCAGTTACATCAAAGAGTGCAGATTGTGATTAGGAACACGCTCTATGTCAGCTCTGTAGTCTTCTACACTTTATAAGATTCTTTTTTTCCCTCCTCTGTTTCTCCTCCAAAAATCAGCGTGGTAATCGTGTTTTACTCCAGCTACATGGGCAGAAAAGCTTATTAAAAGAAAAGAGTAAGGGAAGCAAAGATGTGTGCTTGAAGGGGAAACAGGAGACACCTGGGATGAGCTGAGAACCTATGGATGGATTCTCTGCTACATGGGCTGAGAGCTGCAGAGAAAACACACATGATGTATTTCTTCTTTTCTGGGAGTAATAATCATATCAAAGAGCGCCCAGGCTGCCGCAGTAATGAAACCCAAACTTTCAAAAGGTACGGAGAGGAGAAATCTAAATCTACTCCTCTTACTTAATGGCAGCAGTCAGTGAATGAGGCGGGCTTAAGAGACACTATTTGTAGTCATTCATCCATGAAGTTTTTTTCATTTATTCTTTTCATCTTTTCCTTATGCATGGCCACTCGAGACAGCTTCTTATTTACACTACTGCTTTATTGTATATCTGTTAAAACAGTGGTGTTCAAAGCAGCAACAAAATTCATTAAATTAAAAATGAAAAATTTGGTTTATTGTGATTTTGTCAAAATCATTTGAATGGCCACAAATGGCCCCTGAGAAGCACATTGGACACCCCTGTTGCAGTCTGACTTCCTCATGTTTTGTTGTCTTTATGTTGGTTTGCTGTGCTATATTTGGATGCCCGGGTAGATGCTTGTGAGGTGATAGTGAATGTTTCTCTACTCTGCATGCCTCTGTGAGCACAAACACATAGTAGTCTTTCCTTCCAATAACGCTCTTCTTCCTTATTTTCTTCTTTCTCTATGATATGCTCTCTGGATGTCAGAAATCACGCAAGGTAATGAGACAAATCCCAGTCACACCTTATCCCCCTGTTCATTTCAGCCGCTCACTCGTCCTCTCACCCTCCATTCCCTACAATAAAAAAATCCAATACAAAAATGTCTGCAAACTTTGAAACTACCACTTCTGAGTGAAAACTTTACTGTTTCAGAAGTCGTACATGACACATGGCAGCAGAGAGGAGATGCTCTTGAAAAGCACGGTTTGGCGTTCACCTCGGTCCATCTGCTGCGGGGGCGGGAAGGCGGGTGGCAGAGAGCGAGAAAGAGAGGCAGTCATCCTCACGATGGCTATTGTTTAAAAGCAACAAAGAGACATCTTCATTAGCACGGCGTGGGCAGGGGGGATCATAGCACACTGCGTGGCTGTGGAAACGGCGAGAACAAGGAGGATGTATACGGACGGTGAAGTGCTAAGGCAAACCCGCCCATTGGGTTGTCATCTGTTCTTCCTTCTGTTGGACGCAGGAACAATCCTCTGTAGTGACAGAACATTGAGTCAGCTTTGACCCGCACAAACCAACACACACTGCAACACGCACCCCAAAAACACACGCCAACAATAAACACCAAACAATACACACCCAAACAACACACACCAAACAATACACATATCAAACAATACACACCCAAACAACACACACCAAACAATACACACCAACAATACACACCCAAACAACACACACCAAACAATACACATATCAAACAATACACACCAAACAATACACACACCAACAATACACACCAAACAATACACACCAAACAATACACACCAAACAATACACACACCAACAATACACACCAAACAATACACACACCAAACAATACACACCAAACAATACACACCAAACAATACACACCCAAACAACACACACCAAACAATACACATATCAAACAATACACACCAAACAATACACACCAACAATACACACCAAACAATACACACACCAACAATACACACACCAACAATACACACCAAACAATACACACCAAACAATACACACACCAACAATACACACCAAACAATACACATACCAAACAATACACACCAAACAATACACACACCAACAATACACACCAAACAATACACATACCAAACAATACACACCAAACAATACACACACCAACAATACACACCAAACAATACACACACCAAACAATACACACCAAACAATACACACACCAACAATACACACACCAACAATACACACACCAAACAATACACACCAAACAATACACACACCAACAATACACACCAAACAATACACACCAAACAATACACACACCAAACAATACACACACCAACAATACACACACCAAACAATACACACACCAAACAATACACACACCAACAACACACACACCAACAACACACACACCAACAATACACACACCAACAATACACACACCAACAACACACACACCAAACAATACACACACCAACAATACACACCAAACAATACACACCAAACAATACACACCAAACAATACACACCAAACAATACACACCAAACAATACACACACCAACAATACACACACCAAACAATACACACACCAACAATACACACACCAACAATACACACCAAACAATACACACACCAAACAATACACACCAACAATACACACACCAAACAATACACACACCAACAATACACACACCAAACAATACACACACCAACAATACACACACCAAACAATACACATCAAACAATACACACAACAACAATACACACCAAACAATACACACACCAAACAATACACACCAAACAATACACACACCAAACAATACACACAACAACAATACACACAACAACAATACACACCAAACAATACACACCAAACAATACACACACCAAACAATACACAAACAATACACACACCAAAACAACACACACCAAACAATACACACCAAACAATACACACACCAACAATACACACCAAACAATACACACCAAACAATACACACCAAACAATACACACACCAAACAATACACACACCAACAATACACACACCAAACAATACACACACCAAACAATACACACACCAACAACACACACACCAACAACACACACACCAACAATACACACACCAACAATACACACACCAACAACACACACACCAACAACACACACACCAACAATACACACACCAACAATACACACACCAACAATACACACACCAAACAATACACACACCAACAATACACACACCAAACAATACACATCAAACAATACACACAACAACAATACACACCAAACAATACACACCAAACAATACACACCAAACAATACACACACCAACAACACACACACCAACAACACACACACCAACAATACACACACCAAACAATACACACACCAAACAATACACACACCAACAATACACACACCAAACAATACACACACACCAAACAATACACACACCAACAACACACACACCAACAACACACACACCAACAATACACACGCCAACAATACACACACCAACAACACACACACCAACAACACACACGCCAACAATACACACACCAACAATACACACACCAACAATACACACACCAAACAATACACACACCAACAATACACACACCAAACAATACACATCAAACAATACACACAACAACAATACACACCAAACAATACACACCAAACAATACACACCAAACAATACACACACCAAACAATACACACAACAACAATACACACCAAACAATACACACCAAACAATACACACCAAACAATACACACCAAACAATACACACCAAACAATACACACCAAACAATACACACACCAAACAACACACACCAAACAATACACACACCAACAATACACACCCCAACAACACACACCAAACAATACACACCAAACAATACACACCAAACAATACACACAAACAATACACACCAACAATACACACCAACAATACACACCAAACAATACACACCAAACAATACACACCAACAATACACACCAAACAATACACACACCAAACAATACACACCAAACAATACACACCAAACAATACACACCAAACAATACACACACCAAACAACACACACCAAACAATACACACCAAACAATACACACACCAACAATACACACCCCAACAACACACACCAAACAACACACACCAAACAATACACACCAAACAATACACACAAACAATACACACCAACAATACACACCAACAATACACACCAACAATACACACCAACAATACACACCAACAATACACACCAACAATACACACCAACAACACGCACCCAAACTCACGCTGCATCATCCAAAGAGCCATGCCAAACGTATCCCTGTTCAGCACGTGTAAATTGTCCCCATTTTTAGAAAACCAGCTTCCTTGGTTTTTTCTCTGAACACAAGCTGCCCTTTTCCCCAAAGTATGGCTGTAAATCATACAAACTTTAGAGTTTTAGAAAGGTTATTGAAAATCACAGCAGCAGGTAGAGTAATTGCAAGCCATTAATGACCCTTGACCTTGATCATTGTTATGTAACAATCACAAAAGACAATGTAATTTAGAAGGATTTGATGGACTAATATTAAGCACTATTTAAGTGTGAAACTTAAGGAAAATTAGACCCAGTTTGACTTTAAGGGTTCACATTTATATTCAGACCCCCTTAATAGATTTTCCTGTGTTAAAATAAAAATTATGTTTATCACAAGTCTTAAATTTTGTTCACATACATATTCTTGTATGTGAACTTTGTTTTCTCAAGAGACTTCTCTGAATGGCCAAAGTTTTGAGTCATGCCCAGACATCTGCAGTGAGTTGATGCAGGTCAGGCAACTGGTTACTAGCTGCTGAAAGACCCCTGCTGCATAGCTAGCTATCTAGCTGTTTTGTGTCTGCCAGGGGTAAGTGTAAATTTATCTGCATTTGTTTTTGCCGCTGCCTCACTTCTGTTGGTGGTGGCCGATGTGCAAAAAAACCTTCTGATCTCCATGTATGTTAAGGCTGTTTGCAGTGTGAGAAGAACAAAACCTTAAATCATTTAAATAAAATGTCTTGAATGCCAAGAGCCACAAACAAGACTCAAAGATGTTTTACTTTCTATTCTTAACTGTAAAACAGCAGAATCCAAGAACCAGAACCTATGTCAGTAGTATTATTTGACCTTTTGCATTAAAAAGGTTTTAAGAAGTCTTAAATGTGACTTTCTGAGACCTGCAGATCGCCTGGTTGAAGTAGAATTAGATTATAAAACATCCAAGGCTTGGATCACCTTCGCATGTTCAATCTATCATCTGGAAACAGAACTGCAAACCACGTCCTTGGTGGTTCTGGAGGAGCAGCAGAGAGCCGCCACTCAGCTGGAAGACTCAGTTAACATGGTAACAGTCACATGTGTACCTCACAGTTTACCATAGTTGATGAGAAGATGGAACTGAATGCAAGGTAATTCTGGAAAAAAAGCTGCGCGTGGCTGAAAAGACAAAAAAACTTTGCGTGGAGGTTCAACTTCCAGCAGGACTCTAAAGACGAAAACAGCTCAAAACACAATGGGTTTAAATTTCAGGTGTAAAAAGCTGCGAGAGAGAGAGAAGAGGGCTGAAATCAAATAAATCAAAAACTACTTATTTCATTTTGAACGATTATTGTCCTAACCCCACCCTGTGTTGCTCCATGACAGTAGATTCCAGTAAAGACACTGGTATGTGTGGATGGAGTGGGGGAGAGTCGGCACAATCAGACACTCTGCCTGAGCTGACCAAGTATGGCCAACATGTCGTGGGAACTTTTGGCAAAATCTGAACAAATGGACGAGAATCCATCTGCTCCTGCCAGGGTTCAGAGTTTCCACCCCGCTCTGCTGCAGCCAGCTCCAGGTGTTTGGACGCGGCCAGGACTCGCTGTCTCCTGCACTCTGAATTGCTGCCTGAATAAAACCAGCTTCCTTGGTTTTTGTCCTTTTCCATCGTCCTCTGTTCCCCTACCTCCAAGTCATTATCTCTGTCTTACCCTTTCTGGCAGTTACCACTATACAAAATAGACAAAAAACATTACTGACCCATCAACATCACCTTCTGTCCAATCTGAATCGCCGGCCCCAAATCTCTGAATGAAAGAATCAGATTTCTTGGCCATGACACCCAGATGAATGGCAATTAATTTGACTTCACTGTTGGAAAGGTCGGCGCTTCTCATCAGCTATTCATTAGCGAGGTCTGCAAAGACCTATCCCTATCACAAGAGCAGCCTGCTCTTAATTTTCTTTTGTTGTCCATTTTCTGGCTCATAGAGGATAATTGATCACTTAAAAGTCACTTATTTGGTGTGAAGTGTTGCAGGATCAGTGGAAGGCATGAAAGTGGCGTCAGAGTCCCTGCTGATTTAGTATCTTTACCTCCTTGGCTATGGAGCCACGGAGGCCTTAGACAAGCATACATACCCTCCTGACAATAATTCTCTTACATTGCAGCCATCAACTTTTGTGCATTTTATTGAGATTTTATGTGATAAACCCACACAAAATAATTCATAATTATGATACAGTTGTGACCTACTGTATATGTGGCTTCTTCTGATCTTATCACCCCAAAAAGATCCGATATGTTCCACTTCTGCAGGTTTTACTGAATCAGATAGATTCAGATATAGATATCAGATAGATATGCAACTGTTTTCAAAGTCTGAACAATGTATCCGGTTTTGCATCATTGATGAAAGACATGCATAATTCTGAAGCCAAATGTGTTAAATTCAGACATAAACAATGGCTGAACATTATGATCATGAACTTATGAAGGATGTCTTTGTCACTACAGAGCATCATCCAAACTGATGCTCCACAAAAGGCCTTCACTGTTAGCTGTCCTTCACCAGCTTCCTTCGGCTTGTGATGTTGAAAAACTTTAGAATAAACTTAAAAATGGCTCCATAGATTGAGAGGCCATACGCAGAGCGCTGCAGTGTGACGTCAGCGCTCCTCTGGACATGCAGGTTGCTCTGAGCCACTTAGCCAATGGATCAGATCGAACTGCGGTCGCAAAACCTCCAAAAATAATTGGAATTGAGCATAAAGACCTGCTGTATGAGTATAACCTAAGAGAAACAGAGGAACAGTCAGAGCATAGTGACTCTGGAGCAGCTGCAGAGACATGCGCTGCAGGTAGGAGAGCCAGCTATCAGTCAAGAAGATGCTCTGAACATTTTCATTTTACATACAGAACATTTTGAGTTGTCTCACTCCTAAACGTGGTGGTGTGGGAACTCTTCAGCAGTTCTTCAAATGGTTGATTATTTTCCAGTTTTTACCAAATCATGTATCATTTTACCTTCACTACTCAACTACATGCAACCCTGTGTTACTGATGAAATTCCAGTAAATTACTCTGAAGTGTTTATAATCTGACAATATTTCTGAAAGAAATTCAGGTTGTGCGAAAACTTTTCACCGTTTTCCCTGGGTTTCCACCACATATCACAGCATTCAAGTCTTTTTCTGGAAATACCAACAGTCACTCCTGACTGGGTATGGAAGTGATTCAAATGGAAATGAATCTTCTCTGTCAACTCTGTCTCACTTTCTGAATCCTTCGTTGTGTCCCATCTGTTTTCAACAGAACAAGCACACAGACCTCAACCTGAAAGAGTCGCTGTTCGTCGGTGGCGCTCCCGATTACAGCAAACTAGCAAGAGTTGCTGCACTCACGCAGGGATTCAAGGGAACCATCCAGAAGGTAAAATAAGAAAGGTTTTACAATCTGCTGCTCAATGTGACTCCAGTGAACCGCAGTGAACTGCAGTGAACCGCAGTGAACTGCAGTGAACCGCAGTGAACCGCAGTGAACTCAGTGAACCCCAGTGAACTGGAGTGAACCGCAGTTAACCGCAGTGAACTGCAGTGAACTGCAGTGAACTCAGTGAACTGCAGTGAACTCCAGTGAACCGCAGTGAACTGCAGTGAACTGGAGTGAACCACAGTTAACCGCAGTGACTCCTGAGGTTGGCAGTGAACCGCAGTGGAGTCAGACCAGAAGGTTTCCGCTGTCAGACCACAGCTCTCTGATTTTAGCTGTTTTACTATCAGAAGTTCTCACTGTGATGAGAAGTGGCTCTGCTTATTCCGATTAGCTAGTGTTAATTTTAGAATATTTTGAAGTCCTTCCATTTTGTTGCTCTCAGATCTTTCCCTGACAAATTTCCAGTTTTTTCTAGCAAACAGCTCATCTCTGAGCTCCCAGAATAACTCTATCAAAAAACAAAGGGCTGGATGGAAATGTTTGCAGGAACTTGTCAGGAGTTCTTGTTGCCAAACTTTCCCTCCACCACAGTTTTGAGACAATCAGAAACAAAATGCAACATTTGTGGTGCTTTGCCTCAAGGGAATTGTTAATTATGTGGAAGACGTCATGTATTTGAGTTTTGATGTGCTGTTTTATTGGTTGCTTTGAAAGCATTGTCTGAAACACATGGTATCTGCAGCTTCACTGTAACCTAGGATGTGTTCAATCATTAAATTTAATGATCCTTCAACCGATAAACTCAATGGCCTTTAAATAAACGCTCTCAATTCAAAAGAAACACAAAATCATTTTTTAAAGTAATAGAAGAAAAATAGATGATCATTTTTAATGTGAGTTAAGTTCAGATGAGCTGCAATAAAGACAAGAAACTGAACCAGCTGAAATGAAAAGAATGATCAGAATTTAATACATATTTGTATTTAAATTTTAACAGATGTTGTTCTAAGCTCAGATATACTTTTCTTCGAAGAAGCAATGTATGTGCCAAACCTTGCATTGTGTGCTGTATTAGTTCTCCATGTATGTAGCTGCCTGCAAGTTTTGCTCAGTGTGCCTCTGTCAGCCGTAAACATGTTTTCTGTATCTGCTGCTTAGCCTCCTGCTAACCCTGCGCCCCCTGCAGAGAGGCTGCCTATATTTGTCCTAGAAATCACCCAGGGCATCAAAACATTGAAAAAGTTTCCAGTGCCTCGTCCACTGAAAAGCCTGCCTTGTTCTCCAAAACTAAATGAAACTAAATGCAAATTGGGCTAGTCTGCAGTGGAACATGTTTTGAAAGTTGTGATAGATTATGATAGAATGATCAGAGTTGGTGTTAACTTTTACATTTAAGTAAATGTTCTCCGTGTTCAGGTCTGAACCAAGTTTGTTTGTTGTGGTCGCCTAACATGTTCTGTTCTCCAACCAGAGTTTAGGTCCATTTAACACTAGGCGGCATATTTATTGTTGAATGTTTTGATGCTCATTACATTACATTCAAAAATTCTGCCAGTCATAAGGACTTGAGTCTGATGCTGCATAGGACAGAGACTTGACTTGGACAAGACATTTAGGACTAGACTCAGACTTAAGTCTGGGACTTGGGACCTGACTTACACTTGATGTCTGTTTGTGTTAAATGGTTCATAGTGTCATGCAGATAGAAACTTGAAACCTGTGGTATAAACTTCTTTACTGCTCACTTTTGTTTCTTACTTTGCCTCTTGGATTGTAAGAACAATCATAACATATTATTGCCACAACCTTTTTAGTGGTTGTGTGTTTCAGAGGTGAGACATTAAAACATGTCTTGCAGTGAGACAGACCTGAACCGTTTCAGTTTGACCTCCAGCTGTTCTTCTGCCTCCAGATCATGCTGATGAGCACACCCATCCTGCGGGAGGAGAACGCCCTGAACTCCAGTAACGTGGCCATGTTCCACGGTCATCCGTGTTTCCAGGAGCCCTGCCAGAACGGCGGCCGCTGCCACCCTGAGCTGGACGGCTACGACTGCTCCTGTCCCAGCGGCTTCTCAGGGGACACGTGTCAGAACGGTGAGTCGCTGCTTCCTGTGCTGCATTTCTGTCTCACCTGATCTTCGCCGGCTGACCAGCTGAGATCAGAATCCAGATGACGGGATGGAGATCATGCTGCGGTCTTTGTAACAGCACACATGCTGATCCATTTACTGCTGTTTCTGCCTTATGAGAAAGTTCTATCCATGTTAAATGATAGAACAATTCTTATTAACCACATGTTTATGATTTATGATTATTAACCACATGCTTATGATTTAGTTTTATTCACCTTGACCAGGTTTCTGCCATTCCTGCAGAATCAACACATGATTTCAGTTGTTCCAGACTGACAGCATGAAGTACGCAGCAAAACTCTTAAAGCAAGTCATTTTTCTTAGATGCTTGTTTGCAGCTTCTGCTGCATCTTCTTTTTACAGACCATGTGCCAATGTCTGATGAAGTTACATTCCGCTTTGTTTTGTCAAATGTCTCCAAACTGAAGTTTTTTTTCCTTCTTTTTTTGGGCGGGGCACATTTCAAAAGTTTGATTAAAATTTACGACAATTTAATCGAATTATATCAGAGAATAGTGTAAACCTCAAAATCACATTTTTCCTTCCACTTGTTATGCAAATTATAAGCAAACTTTTAAAATGTTGCAAGTATGTGAAATATAAATAGGGCATGTTACCCCCTGTTGTTTTGGAGCAAATCAACCCAAAGTCAGGGTTCACACTCCAAAACATCCAAATGGCTGCAATAAACCATGTTTCATATTTTGGTCTGAACTCCTTCACACAGACAGAGAAACTGCTACTGCTGCAGTGAAGCACCAGCGTTAATCCAGTCAGTTATAAGGGGGGCAACAAGTTTATCACAGATAGAAAGTCATCATTTGAAACTAACTTTTGGACATTCATCCAGATTGTCTTTGTCCTGAAGTTAAAAGCAGTTTGTTGGTCTAAAGTAGGAACAAACTGACAGACATTTCCAAATCCCTGAAGTATCATTTAAATAAGCAGGGCTTGGATTAGGCCAGTTGGATCCTGGTACATCTCCAACAGTCAGACCTCTGATCTTTCTATCAAATAATATCAGTATTATACATGATGTCGCTTTTATGTGGCCGCTGCATTGCTGCATTGCTGGCAAAGTAATAGATCAGCTGTGAAAATGATTAAACGTGTCAGCTGAATATTCATGACAGGAAGTGGGGTTGCCTGTCCCTTTCATCATCTGCGTTAACCTTGTGCGTGCAGTCGCTGTCCCCTCTCACGGTGATTAAATCCAGCCAACCTCTTTGCTCTTTGTCAATTTGGTGTGGTCTCAGCCTTTTGAGTGTTTTCTCTGTCTGTTGCCAGCTATCCACGAGAAGTCGGCCGGAGAGACGGAGGCCATCGCCTTCGACGGACGGACCTTCATCGAGTACCACAACGCCGTGACCAGGAGGTGAGGAGGAAGAACGTCTTTTTCAGCTTCATCTCCTCAGTAGCAGCTATTAGCCAAATAACCGTCTTGTCTATCCGTCTCCTCCCCTGGTGAGTGTGATGGGATCATCAGCGGTAGGGCTTCAGGGAAACTAAGAGCCTCGCTAATCGCTCTCTCTGTGTCTGTGGGCGACCCTGCCTCGCTTTGACAGGATTTCTCTAATTAGCCAGACACTTAGCAATCACAGCCTCGCCCTGAGCTGCCGGCTCGCCGCCCCGCGCTGCAGTCGCTGCCGCCGGACAACAGGAACGCACCACTTATTATCCTGATTGGATCAATTTCTGTTATCCAACTGGAGTCTGAAGATTTGTCAGCTCAAGGAAAGAGACGGATTTGTGAGACAAAAGCAAACAACAACCTGAAGACACAAATGATGATGTAGTTTCTGTGTTTTGGTCGCCTCTGGGTTTGCATAAAGTGTAGAAGTGATGAGGCAACAGAGACAGCAGGCGTACGGTCGCTGCTCTTTACACAAACACTGCGCTGTGTGAAAACCAGGAGTCTGTCAGTCACTCTGTGTCTTGATGTGCATCTGTCTCTGTCCCTCTATCTGATGTCCACTTCCTGTCTGTGTCTCATATGAGTGTCCCTCACTGTCTTCTCCTTTCAAGCCAACTGACCAATGAGATCCCAGAGTAAGTAGACTCAGTCTGGTGTTCAGATCAAGCCCAACTAACAGAACAACTCATTTTATTTTACTCAGTTAACCCAAACAAAAAGATGAAAGTACATTCAGCTTTCACAGATCTTCATATGAAGACTCCATTTCCATCTTTTAATTTGACACATTTAATTATTTTGGAATACATTTGCAGTCAGTTTTTTGTTTTTTCCAATGCAAAGGGAAGCATGAATGTCTGCATGATAAACTTTGTGTTCAACCAGAGGAAATGAATTGCCGTATTATGATTGTGCAATAATTTATTCATGGTTAAAACTCGTTCATAAATGCAATGAATTGCAGTGTACTTTAGGTGGGGATGACTGAGGGCCGCTTGAAAGACCAGAGTGTTCGTAACGACTGAACTCTTCTGGATTTCATGGCGTTAGAACCTAAAACTTAGTGGATTACAGACGGATTCTGTTAAACAGTCCAGTCCAAAAGGTTTCACTGACTCCGTACACATGCAGAGTCTGAAAGATTAAAGATACAAAACACAACCTGTAGTTTACTCAGAATGGATGGAGAGGTTCTGTGGTCATCAATGTTCAAGCCTTTCCACAGTATTTCAGTCCAGGCTTTGACTGGACCATTCTGACTTATGAACATTCTTTGATATGAAGGGACAGTGTTGTGTGCTTTACAGCCACATAGAGCCATTTCATAGTACAATGAAGTAACTATGTTATCTTCAGTTGTTATAAATATGTTTTGTTTAAATATGACTTCAATGAAACTTGACTTAACGCCTTGAAATCGTTAAGTCATCATTGTAATGATCGTAATGATGATGACTTAACGTTAAGAAGCAGGAGCTTTTGTGTCTTTCAGAAGCTCCTGCTGTTGCCATCAGTCTGCCTTTGGTCTGTCATCATAGCAATGTTTCTCATTATGCAGCTTACAGCCGTTTCTACCAGTGTTTCATTGAGGAGCAGACACACACAGCTGTTTGCTAGTTGCTGCTGCCACTAGTCTGGAGGAGCTGTGTGGAGGGTCTGCCACGTGAGACAGAAGTTTAACTGGAGGAATCAGTAAATGAACTTATCACCAAGTGAAACACATTTTTCAGAATAATTGAACACAAAATGATGTCTGGAGGCAAAATGAACTAAGAATTTTATCATTATAATTTGCAGTTCTGTTACGTTAATGATCAAATTTTGATTAAAAAGCTATTTATTACCTCTTATTTAGCTAACGTTATGACTTTACAACCACAAACATTGTCCTTGAAAAACATTCGTCAGTTTTTAAATGGGCATGGTCAGGACACCACTTCCCTTAAAAAGGATGATTTATATTACTTTATGTTGCTGTAACAGCATTTAATCGTGTTTTCTTATTTGCTGATATTTATTGATTCAGTGGACAAAACAGGAAAAATAAAATGTATGGTAATATTGTTAGTTTTGTCATCAATTGAAATTTATTGAGACAGCACAACAAAATTCCTATGAAATTATTTACAATACATAATATATACTAAATGCACATGCCTACAAAAAAAATGGAAAAACTATTTCTAGAAACTGAAATGTGGACTTAATTAAAAGCTTATTTTAAAAATTCATTTTAATCTGACAAACGAGATCCATCAGACGTTTACTCTAATTTATTGAATATTTATTGCCTTCCATGTCACAATTAGCTTTGCACAAATAATCCTTACAAAGCACATTGAAATGATTAATTTACCTCTGAGCCACTAAAGAGAGAGAAGCTACATGGTTAGCTTAGCATTGTAATGAATGAAATAAGCTCTTCTTAACCTGCCTGCTGGGTGGGGCAGCAGGTAAACCAGGCGCTGCAGCAGGTAAGCCAGGCGCTGCAGCAGGTAAACCAGGCGCTGCAGCAGGTAAACCAGGCGCTGCAGCAGGTAAACCAGGCGCTGCAGCAGGTAAGCCAGGCGCTGCAGCAGGTAAACCAGGCGCTGCAGCAGGTAAACCAGGCGCTGCAGCAGGTAAGCCAGGCGCTGCAGCAAGTAAACCAGGCGCTGCAGCAGGTAAACCAGGCGCTGCAGCAAGTAAACCAGGTGCTGCAGCAGGTAAACCAGGCGCTGCAGCAAGTAAACCAGGCGCTGCAGCAGGTAAACCAGGCGCTGCAGCAGGTAAACCAGGCGCTGCAGCAGGTAAACCAGGCGCTGCAGCAAGTAAACCAGGCGCTGCAGCAGGTAAACCAGGCACTGCAGCAGGTAAACCAGGCGCTGCAGCAAGTAAACCAGGTGCTGCAGCAAGTAAACCAGGTGCTGCAGCAAGTAAACCAGGTGCTGCAGCAGGTAAACCAGGTGCTGCAGCAGAAATCGGCTCCAATCAGGCCGACTGAAAACTCAATCCTCACCACAGTTTGTGTTGCATCACTTTCTTTTTTCCAGATCTCTGATTGTAATTTTGAATAATTACAGAGCGGCAGTGTGCATGGCTGTGACATGTTAAGCACAGATTTATGTGCCTGTGTACAGCAGAGCTCCAGTGGAGAGCACTCCACAGTGGGCGGCCTGGGCCTCAATCTCACTTCGCTAGAGGGACAGTAGTCCTAGGAGCCAGGCTCTCAAAGTTTAATAGATGTTACAGTTGCTAAGAGCAACCACAATGGGCCTGGATCAAGGCAAACCAATCAATTTAGCAGGATTTCATTTTACAAAGATAATGAATTCCTTTTTTTTTTCCAGCAGCTGTTAAGTAGAGAGTAAAAAGGCCAAAATGTCAAACTATCACCTTCGGGTGCCGTTTCTGTGTCTTTGAACGGTCGATTCGCTGGACTCATTTCAAGGTTGACGAATCACACATGACTCATCTGATACTGTTTGACCCCATTCTTTGACAATCGGACAATTTTTTTCACCCAGCGCTTTCATCTCTCAGCAGAAGGTAATTGCAGTGGCGCTGTGGTGTGCGGCGCCATATATATATTTATATAGATATATCTCTAAACAGATATAGACATATATATCTATATCTATACATAGATATAGATATATATAGAAAGGGACTGCTCAATAGTTGGACGCTGACTTTCAAGCCAGTCGCTGACTGATGTAAATGTACTTTATCTTTAAAAAAAAAAGCTTGAAAAGCTAGGATATTTCTTATTGCTTCCATTCTGACTGTTCCAATTTATTGAGGAGCGTCTGGGTTATCGGGGCTGATTCTTCCTGTAATCTCACAGCAGCTGTTCTGGACTCTCCATGCGTTCGATGGAGGAGTGCAGCAGATTAGGCTTTTGCAGCTCTGGGTCTCTAAGGGAGACCTCTGTGAGCCGCTGTGCTCACAGTGTTCTCCCTTCCTTCCTCCCTCCTCCTCCTTGTTTCCTTGTCCCTGTTTGCGCTTCCTCTGCATGACTTTCTCCCTGCTCCCTTAAGTCCTGAATCTCTGGAGAACCCATCCGACCAGAGGTGAGTCTCTTAAAGCTTTTCAACTTTGCCCTGTTCACTTGTATGCCACCTTTGTTTCATCCCTCAGCTCCTCTCCAGACAATCCCTCCTTGACCTTTGACAGGCCTAAAGTCTCCTGTTCGATTTAAAAAGTCACCAAATGATCATTTTTATATGGCTAACATGTCAAACAGCCTCTTCTGATATGCATGCCCATATATCTACTGCCTCACAGGCAGGAATGTCTGATTAACTTTGGACTTTAATCAAAAACATTTGAACCAGAGCACTGATGATACTAAATGGAACATCAATACATTTTAAAAATAATAATTGGCTGCACAAATTTGAATTTTAAGAATGTAGGACAGACTACGACCAGCAGGAGGCAGAGAAACCCACATTTAAATTGCCCCAGATTTATTTTAGACCAATATTTTAAATCATTTTCTGAAATTGGCCAATAAAGATGTTAGCGCCGATATATGGTGCTTCCTGAATTAGCATATAATGCTATGGTAACCAGTGGTGCAGAAAAGTGAGTATGCATTACATGCAACACATAGGGATGCCATGCTAGCAAGGGCGCCAGAAATAGTGAAAAAAATTCAAGTCATCATTTTCTGTATCAATCAAATTTTATTTGTAGAGCACATTTCAGCAGCAAGGCATTTCAAAGTGCTTTACATCATAAACACAAAAACACAAAGTCATGCATCATGAAATAAACAATACATTGTTCCATATTACATTTCAAATAAAACTCTAAACAGGTGTGGGTTTAGTTGAGATTTAAAGGAAGTCAGGGTTTCTGCTGTTTTACAGTTTTCTGGAAGTTTGTTCCAAATTTTTGGTGCATAGATGCTGAAAGCTGCTTCTCCTCTCTTGGTTCTGGTTCTGGGGATGCAGAGCAGAACCAGAACCAGAACCTGAGAGTCTGGAAGATTGATACAACAACAGCAGATCTTTGATGTATTGTGGTGCTAAACCGTTCAGTGATTTATAAAGTGTTCTCCCTGTAGTTAGCTGTTATTGATCATATCATGTGTGAATGATGTGATCAGTAACAGAGGCCTGATGCTGATCAGCTGCCTGTCCGCTCCTTCACCTCCAGTTCTGCCGGGCTCAGTGCAATAAAATAAAAATGAGACAAACTCCACCTGTTGTAAGTGTAACTCCGGACTAACAGTGTGGCACAAAACTTGCCAGTTCAGCTTCTCAGCCGCTTCTGCCCACTCCTTTTCCTCTGACCACTCCTGCCACCTAGTGGTAGAGTGTGGGTGCCTTCTGAGGACCTGTGAGCAGCAGATGATGCCCAGAAAGCAGCGGCATCGCAGCAGGAATCAGTGCAGTGGGATTCAGAGCGCTAAGTGCCAGCCTTGTTTTATTCATTGTACGTTCTGCACCTTTAATAACCTTGACCTTATCACTGACAAGCTGCTGCGGAGAGATTTACTGGGCCTTGTAAACTCTTTGAGGGCTTGCCAGGAGTCAGGTTCACCCAGGCTTCATTTTTGTTTGTTCACGTTTATTTTTCTCCCTTTGAGGAAAAAAAAAAAAGAAAATGTGATGCTCTTAAATCTGTTTACCTCAGCAGCTTTAGATGGATATAAGGGGTGTATCGGTTGCCAAGTAAAGGGAAAAAATGGATTTCTTGATTTTGTTTTTTGCTTTTTGCAAATATCTGCTGAGGTGAACTGGCCTGTAATAGTTTTAGATTTTACTGCTTTCATAGTGAAGAACCCTGATTCAGGAGCGCGCCCCTCCCCTCTCCTTTCATTTGTTTGCTGTTCTGTGTGCCAGCTGCTTTTTCTCCTCATGTGTCTTGTATAATATTCTGCTTTTTTTTCCCATACTCGGTAGCTGTATGCGTCCTCCTCACCCTGTCTTGTCTTTCTGTGTAGACTTCGTTTGAAAGTAGCAGAATCCGTTCCAGACGAGTGAACAGTTGCAGAGAATCCGCCTGTTTACATTAGGATTGCGTTGGCTGCATTTTCCCTCTAAGTGTTTCTGTATGCAGCGGCGGCTGCTTCCAGGCGCTTCGTCTTCCTCTGCGCTGCTGAGGCGGTGGAAGCCTCTTAAGGATAGAGGAATCAGCTCATCCCCTCCCAATGCTGCAGCGGGTGAAGAGGCGGGAGATGTAATGGCTGCCCAGCTTAGCCTCAGTAATGTTGCTCAGGCTAACAGGGAAACAGAACACACTACTTCAGAGCTTCGTCTTAGTTTCTTTAGATGCTGTTAGAATTTGACTCACAGCCCAAATTTCAGGGATTTTAACAGCAAATACATTAAAATCATGTAGAAAAAATGCTGATTTGTGTCCAGTCTTGGTTGTGATGTGTACTTACCTCCAAGTACATATTTCACTACAGCAGTGATTTAGTTTAAAATCCAGCCTTTAATTTAAAAGCATCTATTCAGTAAGATGAGAAGTAATTGATGTTAAAATCAAAGATCATTAGTGCTTATATAATCATAATTAGTAAACCATTACGATCTGTTCCCACAGGAGACAAGTATAGAACATCAATATATTCATGTTAGCAGCCCTTCAGAACTCTGTGCTTTCCATAGCAACCAGCAGAGATTAGCTGCATATCAATGAGTTGTGTCCTACCATGACAAACATTAACAGGTTTTCTTAAGTCTTCTTGTTATTGGGAACTCATGACTTTGGTCACGTCAGATCATGAATGAACGTGTGAAAAACAACTTCATAACGACTCCTGCTGTGGCAAAGTGATGTCATCTGGGTTCTTCTGACTCTTATTTGTGGTTTTTATTTTTGTAGAATTTCTTTTTTTTTATGAAATTTTATGAATGATTTTGTTTTATGAGACGATGGATGAAAATGAGCATTTTGCTAAATCCGCTATAGTTTGCAACTATAAAGTTGTACATTCATTAATATGCACCGTCACGTTTAAACAAAAATAACCAATCAAATAATTGAAAGGTTGTGCTGCTGCAAATAAAGATGAATTTATTCTCAGGTATTTTAATCATCTTCATGCGGCTGCTAGTAACTGAGTCCAGATAAACTTCTGGCATTTACCTGAAGACATGCTGGGTCTGGTGTGGGTCTGGTGTGGGTCTGGGTTGGGTCTGGTTCTGATGCGCTGTCCGTGTCCTCCCAGTGAAAAGGCTCTGCTGGTCAACAAGTTTGAGCTGAGCGTGCGGACCGAGGCCACGCAGGGTCTGCTGCTGTGGAGCGGGAAGGGCGTGGAGCGCGCCGACTACATTGCGCTGGCCATTGTGGATGGCCGGGTCCAGATGACCTATGACCTGGGCTCCAAGGCTGTGGTGCTGAGCTCATCGGTGCGTGTCGACACCAACCGCTGGATACGCATCAAAGCCAGCAGGTAAGAAAAAATGGAATCAGCAACAGAAGCTTTCTTTCTCCCTTACTTTCTTCCTCGTTCAGTTAAAGGAGGATTACACTCAATCCGTATGTCTTTGTGTTTCAGCTCACTGTGTGATATCTCGCCTGAATCCTCCGCTTATTTCCGAGTTGATGACTGATTAGTTTCAGATTAAGGCTGCTTTCATGCCCGGTCACGCCAACGTTTGAAGCTTCACACAACAGACAGGCGCAGTGTGGAAGTGGCAGCTTAGACATGGTGATCAGGGTTCAGACGGAGAAGCGCTGCTGCAGCCCAACATGTCTGCACACTCTGCAGAACAAGATTCATGAGACAGAACTGTAGTATGCATACACAGAAAGTGTTGGAACCACAATGTCTTTTCTACATTTTGTCCCATAGAACCATCCCAACCTGCTCACAGAGCGTATGGGGTCACTTGTAACGCATTTTATTAGGATGTAAAGTGATTGACCAAGAAGTGCATAACTGTGAATATATTTTTATAAACACTCTGTTAACTGTAGAATCTATTTATGTATATTTTTCGTGATAAAACAGGTGGATGTAACTTTGCTGAATCAGCTCCACCTCTCTGTAGCTCCAACCATCTCTTTAATTCTAATCGGTGTTTCTGAGGAAAACCTTCCCGCATCATGACAGGGCCACCGTGATGTTTCACTGCTGCATTAAGTCTAAAGTGCAGGGCCAGCTTTCCTCTATTTTCAGTTAAGTTTCATTTTGGTCTCATCTGACCAAAGCCACTTTTTATTATATTCACTGTTTCTTTTATTGCAGAAATTAAAATAAACCTTTATGGGTTTCTTAAACATTCCTCTTTTTTTAACCACTTTTTAATGGAAGTCAGATTTGTAAAGTGAAATCTAATAATTTTCCTGCAATTTTACACAGCACTACTTTATGTGGTTACATTAAACGCCAATAAATATTTAGAGGTTTGTAGCTGAATGTGGAGAAGTGAATAAACCATTTTGAAGGCATTGTTTGCTGCGCTGCATAATGTCGATATTGGCTGTTAGATAAGTTAAATGTGGACATTAGTTACAGACTTCTGAATTAAAACAGGACAATTCACTGAAATATAATAAAAACATTTATTTCTGTTTAATATTCTAGATTATCATTAAATGAAAATAATTCTTCTTTCCATATCAGCTGACTCTCTTGTAGATTTTGTCCTATTAAAACCATAATTTAGCAGCACTTGTGGAGTTTATTTTTTTCTGTTATTTCATTCTGTAGTTCATCTAATACAGACATGTTTAATCCAGGCAGCCAACACTGTCATGGAGGCCCAGTCTGACCCACACAAATTATGGATAATCTTCCTCCAAGTGGAAAAACTCAAAAAGCGAGCGGCACCTTTTTTTGCACAGTGATGTCACTTGAATTGATTTGTTCATTAGAAACAAATTAACAGTGTGAGGGTTGAAAAAGAGCTATTTAGCACCTTCTGCATGTTCTCTGCTTTATCGCAGAAGAACATTTGTTTCCAGCTTCGCCTCAAACGGACCTCTGGGTGGATAATTAGATTGGTTTTTGTCATTTAAGGCGAGAACAATCGATCCTCAAAAGGCCGCTCACATCCATTTTCAAACGGATCTCATCCCAGGCTTTCCTCCTATTTACAGCGGATGCTGAAAGATGGCATCATTTAGAGATAATGTTGGGAAGCAAAATTCTGCAGCATGCAGCTCACATAGCTGCACAGATTTCTGTTTGTGCCTCACTTTTAATTACTCTCGGCTGGAGACTTTCTTTAGTGAATTTTAATTTTTGCAGTCTTCAGATTTGGGGAGTGTGTGCAGAAAGGAGGCGCCTCAATGAGTGAAGCTCCTCCAGCATCAGCTGCTAGGCTAATTTAGAACTCTGCATTAGCCTATGTGAATGTTCACTTTACTGGAAGTAATTTGATGGAGATAGATTTGCTGCTTCTCGTTAACAGGAAACATCGTACCGGCCTAGAAAACGCCTGGGCTTCAACTTCACTTTGATCCCAGTCTGAAATAAGACTCCAGTCCTTCCTTCCTTCCTTCCTTTCTGTGTTTGTGTTCTTCTTTCCTCATAGTGATCTTTTGTATATGAATTTCAGATTGATCTTTAGGAAGTTGGACGCTAATAATTAGAGTTGAGACACTCACTGGGTGATGCATGCATGAGACCTGAAGCTGCCTCCATCTTTCTTTTGGTCTGCAGGGCGCTTCGAGACGGCTCTCTGCAGGTGGGCAACGAGGCGCCAGTGACGGGCTCGTCTCCTCTCCGAGCCACGCAGCTGGACACAGACGGAGCGCTCTGGTTAGGTAGGTCTCAACATTTAGAACTCCAAATAGTTCTGACTGTGTGTGTGTGTGTGTGTGTGTTGGTTCCCTCTAACTACTCGTGCAGCACTGCCAAATAGGAGTAATAAACTTATTGTGGAGGAATAGCAGAAAAAAATGACTGTAGTGTTTGCAAAAAAGTTCTTTTCATTACTGAGGTGAGAAATGAAAAAGTGTTTCTGACTAACTCCAAAGCTCTTCCTCTTCTGAATTCAAAGTGACCAAGCAGCCGGTTACCTGGCAACCTGGAGTTCAATTTGGGCTGACTTTGGCTTTAAGGAAAGTTTTTAAAGAGATCACTCTGAGAAAATACCAGTATAGAAGTGGAGGCAGTCAGTCTGTCAGACGGCTCCGGCGGTCTGTCAGACGGCTCCGGCGGTCTGCCAGACGGCTCCGGCGGTCTGCCAGACGGCTCCGGCGGTCTGTCAGACTACGGGAGGCAGCACAGTGGAACAGGCGCTGATGGAGCCCTGCAGCACCAATAGCTAATCCTCACGCAGCCTCCTATCACCAGCGCTTCTTCATCCTAAATCCCTTTTTGCCGTTCATCATTAATTCATCTGTAAATTGCATGAAATTAGTTGACTTCTGATTCTGAGGTTCCCAATCCGATTAATGGGGGAAAGGACAGCGATGTAAAGAACCTGAGAAGGGAAAAAACAAACCGAGTTGCAATGGCATCCAGGTAAAACATTAACAGGCAGGCTGAGCGCTGCAGAAATGCTGAATAAAGATGTTTCATGCTGATTTAGCTGGAAAGGCTCTAATGGCAACTTTGAATCTGCTGACTTTGAAAAGTGGCTCACACAGCAATTAGGAAATAAAGTCTTTAAACACATCAGGGCTTAGTAATTCTTTAGTTTTTGTTTCAGCAGGTTTGAGGTTAGCTGGAGGAGAAGAAAAGGGACAAAAGTAATAAAGTAATAAGAAAAGCCTGCAGTTAGAGAGGAAGCTAACACCAACATTGTTACCAGTTAGCAGCTAACACTAGGCAACAATTTACTGAATGTGTGATTATGCTTCCTAAGACGTGACAAAAAGTGTCATATCTTTTTGTCAGCATAACTAGAGTGGAAGTTTTACAAATTGTTTGGAATATCTCTGTCCAGGTTTAACCGCTCTCTGTGGGTCTTGTAGTTTCAATCAAAGGCAGTCCAGAAATCCCATGTGTTTCTTCCAAAAAACAAACGTATATCTCCTAGAATGTGCCATAATATTGTCTTTTCTTTCAAAGAATACTTCAGGATTAGATAATTAGCTTAATTTTAAATTAGTAGTCAGTTTAAAATAATGAGCAAATTAGTTCTTTATTGTTTTGTGTGGTCAACACCTTTCATCGCTCCTGTTTCTCCTTTGTCACAGCCACTGTGAAAGTAAGAGGGTACAGTCAGGTCCTCCGTACCTCTAAAAGATTTGGTGCAGGTACCCAGTACATACATGCAAGAGAGGGGAGTGGCTGTCTGCTGGACAAAATCAATGGTTGCACTGTGCAGCCGTGACTGAGCAGTGTTTCAAGAATAATCTAAACACGACTTTATCGGTTAATAAACAGCTTTTTTCCCATTTCCCATTATTGTTTCTGAACTCTTGGTGTTTTGCTAGAGCGGGGGTGCAATACGCGGAAGGTTTGGAACTGATCTCAGCATTAGGTGACAAACTCAACCACCAGGACGCTGAGACCGGCACGTCATTATCTGGCTCACTTATCAAAACATACAACAAAAAATCAACACAAATAATAATCTCAGTAATTATTGGTTCAACAAAGTGTTGCGCAATTCTGTGCGTTTCGGTTCCATTACCAAAATCACTAGCAGAGGAGTTTGAAATGAATTATTCAACCATTGTAGTGTTCAGGGAGTGCTTATTAATAATCACAAAATAAATATCAAGCCTGAAAACTGAATATCAAAACGGACTGAGTGATTTTTACATAATCTCTGCTCAACTGGTTGCCATGGACTCGCGTGTGCTTAAACAACAGAGAGAGACGGAGAGTAAAGAGGTACTAGTGGTTTTGAATTGATCACCTGTTCGGGTTATTTGACCTTTTCTGTGGTTCATCACAGCTGCTGTAATTTCTGAACGTTCAATAAACGACAAACTTGGACCTCATTCGTTTGCAAGTATACATAATTCACAACAAACATCAAATACGGTTAATATGTTTCATTGAGTACATAACCTTTTTCAACCTGCACAGCTCCACTGTTGAAAATGAGAAGGTAACATTCACAAATGACATTGAAATAAAATCCAGTCCAACATCTGGTTTGAGGTGATTCCATGAGAACCTGTTGGAGGAAAAATATCCCAACTTCACAAGATGTGCTTTTAACTTAACATTTCTCTTTGGTTCCTCCTATCAGTCTGAGAGTCAGGATGAGGAGGCGCCATGTCAGGAAGACGAAGTGGAAGCTGCTGGATTTTCAGAACAAACAGGCCTACTGTTTATCCCTCTGTCTGGACACAGCACCAATATAACCAGTTTAGAAGCTAAAATGAATGGTTATATGCCAGACATGGAAAACTGTGATGCATGAAGGTCTAATAGCATCTCACAATGTCAACATTGCAGCCAGTGGGCTGAGCGAAATACAGATCCATTATGGAGCAATTCAAGAGGTACCCAGCTTTTATCACTTCGCAAAAACATTCATCAGCACAGAAATTTCAAAACACACAAAAGAGCCTCATGTCAGGCATCATATCCAAGCATCTCAAGGATCACTGATGCAATCCTAATCCACAAGGACCCATCAAAGGGTCCAATCCCACCCAACTACCGACCAATAACCTGCCTCTCCACAACCTGGAAGCTCATGTCAGGCATCATAGCGGCCAAGATAAGCAAACACATGGATAAACACATGAGCACGGCACAGAAGGGTATCGGTGTAAATAGCAGAGGAGCCAAACACCAACTCCTCGTAGACCGCAGTTGCCCGAGACTGCAAAACCCGACACACCAACCTGTGCATGGCTTGGATTGATTACAAGAAAGCCTATGACTCAATGCCACATACTTGGATCATTGAATGCCTAGAGATGTATAACATCAACATGATTCTGAGAGCCTTCATTGCAAACTCGATGAGGCTGTGGAAAACCACCCTGGAAGCCAACTGCAAACCACTTGCACAAGTGTCCATCAAATGTGGCATATACCAAGGAGATGCTCTGTCCCCGCTACTGTTCTGCATAGGCCTGAACCCCCTCAGCCAAATCATCAACAAGACTGGCTACGGATACCGACTCAAAAACGGGGCCACAGATATTAAGACTAGAACGCCATCCGTGTGGATGACATCAAGCTGTACGCCAAGAATGAGCGAGACATCGACTCACTGATCCACACCACCAGGATCTACAGCACTGACATTGGGATGTCATTCGGACTAGAGAAGTGTGGTCGGCTGATCACAAAGAGGGGGAAGGTGATCCACAAAGAAGGAGTCTCACTCCCACAAGGAACAATAGCAGACATAGAGGACAGTTACAAGTACCTAGGTATACCACAAGCAAATGGCAACCTCGATGAGACCACAAGGAAAGGAGCCACAGCTAAATACCTCCAACGAATAAGGCAAGTCCTGAGAAGCCAGCTCAATGGCAAGAACAAAATCCGTGCGATAAACAGCTATGCCCTGCCAGTAATCAGATACCCTGCTGGAATAATTAGCTGGCCAAAGGAGGAGATAAAAGCCACAGATATTAAGACTAGAAAGCTACTAACCATGCATGGAGGGTTCCATCCCAAATCCAGCACCCTGAGACTGTACACGAGCCGCAAGGACGGAGGCAGAGGACTAGTGAGTGTGAGAACCATTGTCCAGGACGAAACAACTAAGATCCATAGATACATCAGGGAGAAAGCCTCAAGAGACAATGTGCTCAGTGAATGTCTCAGACAACAGGGAACGGAGGTTGAGGTGCCAGAGATACCATCATGGGAGGACAAGCCCCTACATGGGATGTACCACCAGCAAATAACCCAAGTGGCTGATATCAGTAAATCCTACCAATGGCTGGAAAAAGCTGGACTCAAGGACAGCACAGAGGCCCTCATCCTGGCCGCCCAGGAACAGGCCCTAAACACCAGAGCAATAGAGGCCCAGATCTACCACACCAGACAAGACCCAAGGTGTAGGTTGTGCAAGGAGGCCCCTGAGACAGTCCAGCACATAACAGCAGGGTGCAAGATACTGGCAGGGAAAGCGTACATGGAGCGACATAACCAAGTGGCAGGCATAGTGTACAGAAACATCTGTGCAGAATATGGACTGGAAACCCCGAGATCAAAGTGGGAAACACCCCCAAAGGTGGTGGAGAATGCCAGAGCTAAGATCCTGTGGGACTTCCAGATCCAGACAGACAGAATGGTAATGGCGAACCAACCAGACATTGTCGTAGTGGATAAACAACAGAGGAAAGCCGTTGTGGTAGATGTAGCAATACCAAGCGATTGCAACATCAGGAAAAAGGAGAGACTGGAGAAATACCAGGGAAGAACTGGAGAGGGCCTGGAAGGTGAAGACCACAGTGGTGCCTGTGGTCATCGGGGCCCTCGGGGCAGTAACCCCCAAACTGGAGCAGTGGCTACAACAGATCCCAGGAGCAACATCAGACATCTCAGTCCAGAAATGTGCAGCAGTCCTTGGCACAGCCAAGATACTGCAGGACCCTCAAGCTCCCAGGCCTCTGGTAGAGGACCCGAGTTCAGAGGATGAGAACCACCCACCAGCCCTGCATGATGAGTTAAATCCTCTGCACTGTGCAGAGGTGTGCAACAAATGGGAGATTTGGTTTAATGATGCTAATGTGGCTCTAGTGGCTCTCCCACTTTGTGTCTGTTGAGTTTTTAACAAGATTCACAGAAACTGTTCTGGATGCTGGAGTTCATGGGACGAGTTTCTCAGATCTCTGCGCGGCCGGGCTTATAAATTCTGGCTGACTTAGTGGACAACGCTTTCGATATGGTTTGATGCATCGTGTAACCGGAAAGATAATACTACAAGTAGTATTAAAATAATATAAAAGCAGCGTGATGCAAGCTACAAGCTATAAGCTATAAGCTCCTCACCAGGCTGAACCTGCATGATGAGGTTAGCGCTGGTTTGTTAACCACTAACTTTCGGGCCAACCAGGAACAAATACATGAAGTTTACAGGGAAGACAGAGCCGGGCGCTGGGCAGCGTGTTGAGCTGGAAACGCTGCATATAATTCTTTGTTCACAAAGAGAAATCTCAACGCACACCTCTGAATTCACAACTACCAGTTATTTCTGCGGTTCATAGAGCTGCACAACCAGAGCTAACACGCAGTGAGGTTTAACTCTTACCTAGAGTTCTCCAAAGAAAAAAGAATTTCTCACAGGAAGTTGATGGAATATCCATACAGATCAGCCTGTGTCCAGTTTGAGTGAAAGGAGGCACGCGTGGAACCACTGAGGCAAAGTCAGGTAAAGCAGGTAAAGGCAGCACAAGGTAAAGCGTAGAGGCTTCCAATGCATAAACTCTGAACTTATATTTTATCATTTGTAAACCTATCCTTTAGGAATAAATCTCCTCTGCTAGTGAAATGCTCAGAGCAACAGAGATGCTCGCAATCCAGCTAAAAAATGAAACATTACTTTTAGTTATTATTTTCCTAAAAACATAAACAAGCAACGCTCTGCCTGGCGGGGGGCCAGGCTTATAATACTCTTGGGGAAAGCCTGTGTGTGTGTGTGTGTGTGTGTGTGTGTGTGTGTGTGTGTGTGTGTGTGTGTGTGTGTGTGTGTGTGTGTGTGTGTGTGTGTGTGTGTGTAAACTTTTGTAATAGTACCGCCAACAATTAAAACTATTTTCAGCCCTGGTCATAGCTTCGTTTTCTGTAGCTGCTATTCAATTTTTTTTGCTTTGATTTGAGAAATAAACTGTCAGCCTGTCATGTCATTAAATTCCATGTCAAAAGGTTGAGACCTTTTCCTGTTGTGGGCAACGGGGCCCGGCGAATACCCGTGGTTAAACGGACGGCGGAGTCCGGCGGTAACAGGCGCTTAAATTCCGTGTCAAAGGGAAGGGGAAAGAAAGAGGGGAAAAAAAAAAAACATGGTATTTTATTCTATGTTGCATGCCTTTGTGTTTTGTGTTTATGATGTAAAGCACTTTGAAATGCCTTGTAGCTGAAATGTGCTATACAAATAAAATTTGATTGATTGATTGATTGATTGATTGATTGATGTCTGTCAGCGGCGTCTTCTTGTGAAACATCAAACGCTGGGACACAACCTGACAAGCCCACCGTTCACTCTGGTTGTTTGGAGCGGCGCAACGTTTCAGGAAATTTTCAGCTTTAATTTGTTCACAGATCCAATCCCACATCCTGCCAGGATGACTGCATGAGTTTGGTTATATATGAGTTAGATCAGTTTACTAAAGACACGGTGATGAAACGCTGAGGACGTCTGAAGCTCTGAATAGAGACAAAAATGACCTCAGCGATTCCACTTTCTCTTATCTATGACCTCTATAACAAGGTGATGCCAGAAAACATGAACTAGTCACTTTAATTTAAAGTTATGTTTACTGTTGGGAGAAATGCTCCTTAGCCAGGCTCAGCACACACATTTTCAGCAAACTTCTATATTTCTCGCTGGATTATGGTTGAAGCACTCAATCAGAAATCATGGTTCGTTTTCTCTCATTAATCTGTATTTCGGTTGATGTTCGAGTCATTCCAGGAGCTCAGTGTTGCCCCTTATCCACTTCAGAATTATTTTCCTGTCGGTTCTGTCCCAGTTTCAATATTCTGACCTGAGTTGTAACCTAAAGATAAAGGTTGGTATAAATGATGAGTCCAATCAAAACTGAAACCAAAACTTTTGGTTCATTGACAAAAACAGATTTTTCTCCTGATTCTATCTTCAGAAAAGACGTCGTCCAACGCATCGTTAGGTTCTGATGTTTACTCTGAGGATCCTCAGCGTGTCCTGATCGGAGTGTGTTGCTGTGTGTGTCTGTGTGTTCATGTCCCTCCGTTCCTCGTCAGGCGGCCTGGAGGTGCTGGGCGTGGCGCGGCGGCTGCCCAAGGCCTACAGCACTGGCTTCGTAGGCTGCATCAAGGATGTGGTGGTGGACGGGGTGGACGTCCACCTGGTGGAGGACGCCTTGAACAGCCCCAAAATACTACACTGCTCTGCAGCCAAATAACCAGGAAGAGAGCGAGCACTGCGAGACCAGAGAAAACAACAAATCAAGAAAGCCTCCCTCCATAATGCCCATGTCTCCTGCTGTAACTATTTTCTATTTTTGTCTACTTTTCATCACTTTTTATATGGGGAAATGATGAAATATGTTTTTAATTTGTGTTGGAATTTTTTTGCCATTTTCTTCTGCATTTCTACTACACTTTATTTTTTCTTCCATATCCAAATATTTGTGGAAAAAAACTTTTTTCATTGTATTGATTTAGTTGTCACCTGAAAAACGACACGTTTTGTTTTTAATTTCTCATTACTTGAACACAGCTCTGATCTCTGGCTGCTGCCTTGTCTTGGTGCCAAGCATAGCCCTCACATCTTTGTGTATTCGGAGCCGCAGCACCGTATGCATAGACTCTATCCTGGTATTATTCAGCCCGCTATATTTTCCTAATAAAATATCAACATAGCTGCTACAGTGACTAAGTGCACTGTCCAGCCATTCCATCGACTCCCATCTCACAGCTACAAAGAAAGAAAGAAACGATAAACCCGCTCGCTAGTCGACTCTCATCAGAGCCTTTAGTTTTTGAAATATGACTAACAACCGCGCCAGCGTGATGGAGAGAGCCCTGTGTCCCACAATGACTCTCATTTCATTAACCATGAATCATAGATACCCATAAATGTTATAAATATAGACTTCTATATATAAATAATACCTAAGACTGTGAATATGTAAGATGGGTTCTCTTCTGAGACTTGTGCTTTTCATGTACTGTTGTGCATTCTGTTCTACAATCACCAGATGAACTAATGTTGACCACTATAAATGCATGCACGTCTGCAGTGTTGGTTAGAATCTGGATTTTTTGTTTTGTTTTGTTTTATTGACACTCTGTTTCTAATATAATAACTACTTTTACAAAAGTGTATTTTATTTCTTATAGTTGCAGAAAGTACAGGATTGGGATTATGCTTTAAGGTTGTGGGTTTTTTAGTTTGTTTTTGGTCTTTAGTGTTCTGTTTTGTTTATTGGGAACTGTTAGTTTTTGCAGGAACACGATGAGCTGTTACCGGATCTGACCTTAAGGAGGTGCTAAAAGCAAAGGCTGAAGAAGAAAGACAGAGAGGTGAAAGAAGGGGAGAGATACAACTCCTGGGAATATCCTGTAAAATACTCAGCTGTTGTCACTAAAAGACACAGAGAGAAATTTAAAAAGAAAACAAACTCCCATAACTCTTGGGACTCCATTCATTTCCTTTTTTTAATTCCGAGAACATTCCTGGAGGAACAGATTTTAGCTTCGGCTGTTGAGTGAGAGTAAGACGGGTGACGGGTTGAAGGAGAAGCTGGTACGTTCTGAAGCCATAACAGCCACAAAAATGGACAAGAACATCCACAATCCCACAGAACTCTGCTTGTTAGCATAGCAAGGCAACGGACTGTTGCAACACGGAGCCGATCGCAATAAACTGAGCTGACTGACTTAAAGACACTTGTTTTGATATGAGAACCTTGGCAATATTCTGAGACTAAAATCATGCCTGTTTGTGACTGAGTATCAATGGTCTTCTACTGTTTTTACTTTCTCACTTCTGTTTCTCTTTGAAATAATCAGGCCACTTGTGTTTTTCTTTGTTGTGTTTTGTACAGCCCCGCGGTTTTAAAAGTGTAAATTAAGCAAAAGTGTGATATGTGGAGGTTTCTGTTTTAGTGATATACACTGGAGCCATGTCTGACTTGTCGATACACTCATGGATTGATATACTTCGACGTGGGAGCGATATCATCACCCTGAATTTTAGCGTTGTGTTGTGTGTGTCCATGCTCTGGGAACCCCTTTCTGGTCTCCCAAGACTGGGTTTTATTTTTAACAAGCTATATCTTGGAATCGAACCCAAATGGGTTGCTCCTGTGTGGCTTTGGTGGAAACTGAATTGCCTTAAAAACAACCTGCCACCTTTGCTGTGAGCAGGCCATGAAGACATCACCTCATCTTACCGTTTCCTTACTTTTAGCCAGTGTATTAGCCTCATTCCAATAATGTAAATGGAGTAATACATGATGATAATATTAGTAATAATCCCAAACATAAAAAAGATCCCAGAGGGTTTCTGCAAAAATGTTTTTTTTAATCTATTTACTGTTTTTTCTCTGTTTTCTGTTTCTTATTTATGTCTCCATGTGGATTATCCTCCATGTCTGACCTCTGTAAACTAAGTCTGACTGTGCAGACCTCGTCAACGGGCATCGCACCGAGTAACAGTGGCATGACCTGAACATTACTAACTTTATGACCTTTGTCTTGTGTTCCTACCACCATTAAATAAAAACATCAACCAGATCCACCTTTTTCTCCTTCCTCGTCTTTAATTTGAGTTTTCCAATTTCTCACTTTAAGATATTAGCGGTGGGTCTTGATTAAAATCTTCAATCAAGTTAATTCCAGGATCTGTAATTAATCACAAATAATCAGACTTTTATTGAAAACTATTGACACAATATGCAACATTTTCAGTTTAATCCAACTTTAGCATTTTACAATACTATTATTTAAATTTCATGTGATTCACGAACATCTGAATGAAACCCTTTCGAAAAATACTAGTTTAGAAATGTGGTTGGTGGGCGCTGACATTAGCTATGTTGACATTAGCTATGCTGACATTAGCTATGCTGACATTAGCTATGTTGACATTAGCTATGCTGACATTAGCTATGCTGACATTAGCTATGTTGACATTAGCTATGCTGACATTAGCTATGCTGACATTAGCTATGCTGACATTAGCTATATTAACATTACCTATGCTGACATTAGCTACGCTGACATTAGCTATGCTGACATTTGCTTTGCTGACATTTGCCATGCTGACATTAGCTATGCTGACATTAGCTATGCTGACATTAGCTATGCTGACATTAGCTAAGCTGAAATTAGCTATGCTGACATTAGCTATGCTGACATTAGTTAAGCTGACATTAGCTATGCTGACATTAGCTAAGCTGACATTTGCTATGCTGACATTAGCTAAGCTGACATTAGCTATGCTGACATTAGCTATGCTGACATTAGCTATGCTGACATTAGCTAAGCTGACATTAGCTATGCTGACATTTGCTATGCTGACATTTGCTATGCTGACATTAGCTATGCTGACATTAGCTAAGTTGACATTAGCTATGCTGACATTTGCTATGCTGACATTTGCTATGCTGACATTAGCTATGCTGACATTAGCTAAGTTGACATTAGCTATGCTGACATTAGCTAAGTTGACATTAGCTATGCTGACATTTGCTATGCTGACATTAGCTATGCTGACATTAGCTAAGCGGACATTAGCAATGCTGACATTAGCTAAGTTGACATTAGCTATGCTGACATTAGCTAAGCTGACATTAGCTAAGATGACATTTGCTATGCTGACATTAGGGCCTGAATAGCTCACAGGCTAACTTTTAACCCCACAATTTGGAAAGAGTCTTTTCGAGTTTTCCATCCGATTGTTTTTTGGAAGGAAAAATGAGTTCCCGCTGATCTAGCGATGCGACTTTGGCGTCCATCGGTTTATGGAAGCCATTGATCCGTTTGATTTATGGGTGTACTAGAATCGCTGACATTTTGTACGTAAAAAAAGTGATTATTTGCGTCAATTAATTAATCAATGTTGAGTGCCTTAAAATCAACGGAATTAATCGAAGAAGAAACATATGTAATACATTTAGATTAGATATAGACAGACAACTGTCTGTTGGAGGTTCTATCTTTTTCTTTTAGCCACTTAACCGCTTACGTACACATGCTGCTGCTTACATAACCACGTTTATGTGTGTGTGCCTGCTGGCAGTCATACATAAACAGACTGACACAGACTAGACTACCCTTTAGGGAGGGTCTGGATTGCAGAAAATAAAAAGCTAAATTTGCACTACCATCCTCACCTCACATCCATAAGTTGTGCTAAATGTGTCCTGGCACTAGACAGGGAATGCAACTCTGTATCTGATCCATTTTATGACATGTATGGTTTGTCATATTTGATCATTCTGAATTCAAGCCTGTTTTTATATATAACCAAAACTCTTATTTTTCTCAAGGTAATTTAGACTTAGGGGTTCTGGTCGGGTCCTAAACCTGGTAAACGGACCTGGTGGAACACAGAGACAAACATGAATGAACTCCAACATGTCTTAAGTAATGTCTACGTATTTGGCAAATAGAGAGAAGTAATCAAAAAGCAGCCTAGTGGTCCGTAGTCACTGAGGGAAGTTGGTCAGACTTGATTTGAATATAGATGGACCTAATAGGACAATTCTAAAAGAAAACCAGTTAGATGCTGAAAAGAATAGGAGACTGTGGCCGGTGTTCACCTTCCAGCAGGAAAACAAGCCTGAACTTCCAGCCGGTGCTGCAAAGGAATGGTTTCGACCGAGAAAGCTTCCGGTCCAACAAACCACCACGGAAATGGTGGTGGTTTTTCTCTTCAATTTTCTCTTCAACGCGTAAACTAAGTTCTATCACATAAAATACTTCTGCAAGTTATAGTAGTGAAAACCATCATGAGGAAAAAGCTGTTATTTCCTGTAGAAGAAACAGATTTTTACAGTCGCAGACATAATGTCAGAAATGATCATTGAGGCTGTTTTGCTGTTCAGGACTTCTTAGTGGCATGTTTGGTAGGTATTTCAACTTTTTACCCCGTTTTACATAAAAGATGTCATTGTAATTCATTCTCACTTGCAGATATTCCAATTGTGGTGTTTTAATAACTTATGTTAGTTTTCACTTTAATATTAAATGGGTTTTTGTGTTTGTAAAAAAAAAATGTTGATCATGATTCACTTGTGTTACAGAAACTTCAGTCCCAACTATCTTGGCATTTTTTTGTGTAGCAATAATTTACGTATAAATCAGCCTTAATAGAGTTTAATTATTTTCATTTAGCCTCTAATTTATCCACATGCAAACTGGAAGACAACTGCAAACCGACTCTTCAGGTCCTAGTGAATAAGAAATTGACTCATGAAGTGATCAACACAGGTATAACCTGACTGAAAGATTTTCATGTGTTTATTTCCTAATATATAAATCAAATACAGCAAGCTCTCATGCTTCCTGCAGAGCTGTCCAAAGTGATATGAGCACCGCTTCAACATTTCCACTCAACATTCCGATTTAATGAGTCATTCCTTTCATGAAAATGACAGAGGACACAATTTATGTGTTGTATAAGTTAAATCTTGATGAAACAGTTAGAAACCCTGACTGCAGTGTTAAACAATCTGATTAAAGGCACATCCAGGAATTAAAATCAGAACGGTTGGAGCTTAATTCAGGGAGATGAAGTTTCCAGTAAAGACGGGTGTTCATGGAGTTTAGCTGAAATTAGCATTTTTGATGACAAGGTTTCAAAGACAGAAATAGACATGGAAAATTTTGAGTCAAATGTTGATCAACCAAAGGAGCCATGAAGCTCAGAGGCAGCTAGAATGTTCGAAGGAATGTCAAGCAATGCAGTTTGTTGGAATGTCAAAGAACAGTTCATGATTTATTCACCACATCTTCTATTGGAGAAACCTCAGGAAAACCTTGAGCTGCAGCATCCATAAGTTAGTTTATATGTAAAGAATCCTGACGTGTCGCGTTGCATAAATAAACCAGCGATCTGACGCTGCTGGCTGGAAACGCCTCGGTTTCACTTTGCTAATGTTTTCTACAACTCTGCATGAAAATGAACTTTGGTCCGCTTAATCTACAGTGCAGGTCATAAGTTTATATACAGTCACAACCAGCCTGAATGTCACGTTTACTATGAGCATTTCCTCTAATTTATATGGAGTCTAACAGACGTATGAAGGCTTAGCAGGTATATTTGGATAGAGGTCTCTTAATTTGTGGTTTTCTATATTTTTTAGCCAACAATCTTCACCTGAGTGAAGTTGGCCCCCCCACCTTCTTCAAATCAGACAAAATTGGTGTCAAACGTTTGTGCTGCGTTTGTGCAGCAAAAATTTTCGTTTGTGCTACTATCGTTTGGAAGATATAACAAAATGTTTTTAGAGGTCATCAAAGGTCAACCAGCTCCCTTACCTTGTCAAGGTAGTCAAACTGTCACAGAAACTGTGCTTTCTGTGACAGTTTTTCTGTTCAGAATGTGCTAAAAAGTACAGAAAAAAAATAAAGCTTCCCATTTTACCTAATTTGAAGAAGTTAGGGGAGCTGGTTGACCTTTGAGGACCTTATTATTTATATTACTAATAATAGTTTATAGTGCTATAATTTGTAATACCAGTATAAATTAAAAAAATGTCCAGCACAAACATAGCACAGTTGATTGACACCAAATTTATTTATGTTTCCAAATGTGAGTAGGGCCAGGGGAGTGGTTGACCTCTGATGACCCCTGGAGAACATTTTTCTGAATATCTTCAGAATGATAGCAGCACAAACGAAAATTTTTGCTGCACAAACCAGCACAAACGCAGCCGAGTTGATTGACACCAATTTTGTCTGATTCGAAGAAGGTGGGAGGGCTTGTTGACCTTTGATGACCTCTAAAAACATTCCGTTACATCTTTCTAATGACAGCAGCACAAACAAAAAAATTTGGCTGCACAAACGCAGCACAAACGTTTGACACAAATTTTGTCTGATTTGAAGAAGGTGGGGGGGCCAACTTCACTCAGGTACAATCTTCAGGCATAATTCTGAATGGATATTTGCTATATTTGTAACAAATACAGTTTAGTTTATTTCAGTTGGTTCATCTCTTGGTGTGGAATCAGTTTTTAAGTGTATTGCACTTCAATAAACTTAAAAACCTAACCCTACCCTAAAACACAAAATCTCACCAAGTATTTTTGGTCTGGTTTCTAGATCAAATGTCTTAGTACACGTGTTTGTTTCAAGAAAAAACTAACTTACAAGTAACATTTCAGATACAGGAGTTTGTTTTAAGTCAAGTCCTTGATTTTGATTAAAAAAGTGAAAGATTTTTTTCACTTAGGGGGAAAATGTCTTGTGAAATAATCTGCCTGGTGAACGAAAACTCTTCCAAAAGTTAGTGTGTTCACAAAAAATTAGACTTTGGTCCTGATTATTCATTTTATATCTCAAAGTATTTTGTTGTACAATCAGTCCAGCCTGGAAAAATACCTCTCATTAAATAAATCACTGAACAAACAAAATGAATACGATGTTCACAACAGCGACAGTTTAAGCTTTTTGAAAATGCTGAAGTTGTCCACATTTATCAATCTTCTCCTAAAGCCACCAAACAGATGTTTGTCTTTTTTTTTATGGACAGGCAGTTTTAAAAACATCTTGAGACACAAAGGTCAAAGGTCATGGCCAAACATAGCGAGTCTCTGCAGGGTGAAGGGAGCATCCTGCTTTCAGTTTTCCTGTGGGGAATCAAGTCTTTGTGTTTCCCAAACTCAACAGGACGTTGGGGTGTGAGGTGATAAAACCCAACGCTTCACTCCAGCTTCTGATTCCTGCACTTCACTCTACAACTCATCAAAGTCACCCAAAAAGGTTTTTAATATCCAAGTGGCTGACTGTTGGTTTACTGCTCAGTTCAGGTCCAAACGTCTTTTAGAGAATATGATACTACAACATTCAGAAAGCGGGTTTAAGAATGGATTTACGTGTGTAATCAAGTTAAATTGGATTTCCTAACCCTTCAAAAATCATGTGCAGCAAACAAATCAATAAATGAGAAAATGTTGTGCTGCAGGCTTGATGTTCCTCCATGCAGCATTTTGGCATTAGCATCAGATTGCTTTGCTCTCTATCGACCTTAAAGCCTCCACAGAATGTGAAACATAAACTTAAAAGATAGCATGAAGTTGAAAACCAAACTGGAGATTTTGTGAATACAGACTGAAACTGCATCACAATATTGGTTTTGTTGCTCATATGCTGTCCTCGCCCTGAGTTCTCAATTTCTTCAGCAGCTAGACAGCTAGACAACGATGCTCCAATAACCAAACTTCTTTCCTTTTTAGCGGTTTATTGAAGAGTGGCCTCTGACCACTGCCATCACTTTAGCCATCGTAAACTGAAACATACAAAACTGCGTATTAGCAAACGAACTAGCGTTTTGTTACGAGCTAAAATAAAACATTTACACCAAAGTTACATAAAACAAAAAGCAATTAACAGATACTTACGAACAAATCTTGTCCGACACACAACGTACGAGAATAACAAACAGCGTAACTATGAACCGCTCGGTGCTGCGTTCCACCATCTTGGATATTCTCCTTATGATTCGACGTCACTAAACAATATAACAAAATATCCACCAGGGGGTGCTCTAGTGCGGTTTTCAACTTACTGGTCAGGCTTTACTTACAAAAAAGCAGCACACTCCCCGTCTGGTACAATACAATTGTGCCACTACAAACAATCTTTTCAAATAAACATTTTGAACTGTTTACAACTACAACATTTTAATCTACATCCGATAAAAGCAAAACCATTTCAGTAATGGGTCTCAAAAACACTTTTTCGTTTCCATCTTTTACAGTTTTCACCTCTGCTTTTCGAACTTTATTGTCCTTACTCTCAAATGTTCTCACAACTTTTCCCATGGACCAGTTGTTTCTGTGAGCGAGAGCATCTTTCAGTAACACAATGTCATTAACTTTAATGTTCGGTTTATCATCAGTCCATTTTCTCCGTTTCTGCAAAGTTGATAAGTATTCACTTTTCCACTGTTTCCAAAAGGAGTCTGCCAAACACTGTACTTGCTTCCATTGCCTGGAGTAGAGGTCTGGAGATGCAAAACTTCCTGCTGGTGCAGATAGCGCATTCACTTTTTGAGTGAGGAGCATTGCTGGAGTGAGAAGGTTTGGTTTGTCGGGATCGGTTGAAATTGGTACAAGTGGTCTTGCATTCATTATTGCCATTACTTCTGCCATGAATGTACTCAACACTTCATGTGTAAGTTGGATGTGTCCGGCTTTCAAAAACATACCGTCCAGTATGCGCCTTGCCACTCCAATGAGTCGTTCCCAAGATCCACCCATATGTGAAGAGTGGGGAGAGTTGAACAGCCATGTGCATCCTTTCTCTAGCAGGTAGGAGTTCAGCTCTGTGTCTTTTTGATCAATTTGCAGTTCATTGCATGCTCCAATAAAATTTGTCCCTCTGTCAGAACGGAGTATTTGTGCAGGTCCACGAATGCAGAAGAATCTTCTTAGCGCATTAATGAAGCTCGATGTCGACATTGATTCAATGAGCTCGATGTGTACAGCTCTTGTGGACATGCAGGTGAAAAGTACAGCCCAGCGTTTGCTATCTGCACTTCCTCCTCGGGTGCGACGTGTGGAGACCGTCCAGGGGCCAAAAACATCCAGTCCCACACTAGAGAAAGGTGGCATGACTGACAGTCTGTCGATGGGTAAATCTGCCATCTTCTGAGTCTGCATTTGTCCTCTAAGTTTTCGACAAAGGACACATTTGTGAATGATGGAAGAAATAAGCCGTTTACTGCCAATAATCCAAAATCCGGCTGCTCTGACTGCTCCTTCAGTTATGTGACGCCCCTGATGCGCTACTTTCTCATGATGGTATCTGATAAGAAGAATGGATATGTGATGAGACCTTGGAATGATGACAGGATGTTTCTCCTCTTTTGTTAGGTTAGCCGGTGCCAAGCGTCCTCCTATTCTGAGAATCCCTTCTTCATCAATGACAGGGTTCAACTTTTGGAGACAACTCTGTTTTGGAAGTGGTTGATTTGTTTTTATGCACTTGAGCTCCTCTTTGAATGTTTCACTTTGCACTGTGTGAATGATAAAGTTGGCTGCATTGGATACTTCTCCTGCAGTGGTACCGTCACTGAAACACTTCCAGCCTTTACTTTCTGTGTCTCTTTTCTTGAATGATGCTGCCACACGCTTTAGTGATGCAATAGTACGACACAGTTTCATCCAATCAGAGAATCTTTCAAAACGAGATGGTTCCAGCTGCGTTACTAAGGTTTTGGTAACAAAGGTTTTCACATCAGGCTTGATCTCTGTATCTGTCTCAGGGTCAATGAGAGTAAAACTATCACAGTGTGATGTCTCAATGTCATGACGTGTCAAAAAAGAAGGACCACTGAACCAGTTTGTGGAAGCTAATGTGGAAGCTGGGACTGGTCTAGTGGCTGTATCTGCTGGATTGTCACAAGTGGATATGTAACACCACTGGGTTGGAAGTGTGGACTTCCTGATCCGAATCACTCGGTTGGCCACATAAGTATAGAATCTCTTTGTGTTGTTGTGTATGTAACCAAGGACGATTTTACTATCTGTGAAAAATCTGACAGTGTCCACTTCAATGTCCATCTCATCTCTAATGAGTTCGTACATTTCTACAGCTAAAACTGCTTCACATAATTCCAATCTAGGGACTGTGTGTGCAGGTCGGGGTGCGACTTTGGATTTGCCAATGATGAAACCTGTGTGCCACTGACCTTCACTGTTGAGAGCTCTCAAGTATGCCACTGCTCCTATGGCCATGGTGGAGGCATCTGAAAATATGCACAGTTCTTTCCATGCAGCAACGGACTGGGAGAATGGGAAGTAGCACCTTGGTATTTGAAGCTGCTCCAGATCTTTCAACGAACTTCTCCATTTGTCCCATTCCTCTTCTCTTTCTGCGGGAAGTGGTTCATCCCAGTCTTTCTGCTGTGTGGAGAAATCACGGAGAAGAGCTTTTCCCTGCATTGTTATGGGTGAAACAAAGCCTAATGGGTCATATAGGCTGTTAACGGTGGCTAAGACACCTCTTCTGGTGAATGGCCTTTTCTCAGTTGCAGCATGAAAAGTGAAACAGTCACTTTTAAGATTCCATAACACTCCTAAGCTCCTTTGCAGGGGAATGTCATCCAACTCCAAGTCCTTTAAATCTTTGGCTCTTTCTGCAGCAGGAAATGCTTCCACTACATTGTGGTCATTAGAGGCTATTTTATGTAACCTTAAATTTGACTGAGCCAGCATGTTTTGTGCCTTTGTGAGTATGTCAACAGCTTCTTCTCTTGTTGCTGTGGATGAAAGACCGTCATCAACATAAAAATGTCTCATTATGAACTGCTTTGCATCATGACCAAACTCTTCTTCTCCCTCAACTGCAGCGCGTCTCATACAATAAATAGCTACAGCTGGGGATGGACTATTACCGAAGACATGAACCTTCATTCGGTAGTCACAAATGTCTTTGTTGGTATCATTATCCACATACCAAAGGAATCTCAAATAATCCCTATGATTCTCTCTTACTTCAAAACAGTAAAACATTTGTTGCACATCAGCTGAAAATGCTACTGGCTCTTTTCTAAAACGCATAAGAACACCTATTAGCGTGTTGTTTAAGTCGGGTCCCCTTAATAAGACTTTGTTAAGGGACAGTCCTTCAAACTCTGCACTTGAGTCAAAAACTACTCTCAGCTGATCAGGTTTTTGTGGGTGGTACACACCAAAGGATGGTAAGTACCAATGTTCTTTGTCTGAGTCCAAAGGTGAAGCAACCTCTGCCTGGTTGTTGTCCAGCATGTTTTGAATGAACTCTGTGTATTGTCTTTTCATTTCCGGCTTCCGGTCCAGTGTTCTTCTGAGTGACTGGAGGCGTTTGAGTGCTTGCTCTCTGTTACTTGGAAGCTTTGGTCTAGGAGAGCGGAATGGCAAAGGTGCCACCCAGCTATTACCTTCATTCTGGTACACTTCCTTTTCCATAATGTCAATAAACTCTTTATCCTCTACTGACAATGCTGGTTTGTCATCATTTTTTGTTCTGTCAAACACTGTTTCTCCCAGTTGACTGGTAGCTGTGTTTTCTATGTCCTTTTGGAAGGTAGGTGTGGTGCTGAGTTGGTAATTACAACCACTTAACTCCTTGACTTGAAACATATTAGGGCATGGGCAGAAGTAAGATGCACGGCCGTTCTGAAGGACATGTGTTTTGAGCACATTCACATTAGTAGGTCTATGCGTCTTCCCCATGCAGGCTTCCCCAACTATCACCCAGCCTAAATCTAAACGCTGTGCATAGGGCATGCTGTGTGGCCCATTGATTCTCTCTCTGACCTTATGAACTTGAATAATGTCTCTTCCCAAGAGCAAAAGAATAGGTACCTGTTCTTCTACAGGAGGCACTTTTTCAGCTATTTTCTGTAAGTGTGGGAACTTCATAGCAACTTGTGGAGACGGAATCTCTCTTCTGTCATCTGGAATCATGTCACACTCAATGAGGTTTGGAAGTGGGAGCTTTACTCTACCATCTATTGACTCAATCGTAAAGTTTAATGCTGTTCTGCCAACATTATCTGACAGTCCTGAGCATGTCCTGAGCTTGTAAGTGTCTGAGCGTGTCTTAATCTTAAAGAGCTCAAAAAACTGAGACTTAGCTAGAGACTTGTTACTTTGTTCATCAAGCACTGCATACATCTTTCTTGCCTGTTCTCTTTTTCCCTCTGGATAGACTAATACAGGACTTATTTTTGAACATGAATGTGGGATATCTACATCACCACAGACTTCTGTGCATTTAGAAACAACTGAGACATTTTCTCTATCCTGCGTCTCCCCGCCATCATCTTTATCAGCTTCACAGCTCTCAGCTGGAGCAGGGGGTGGACCTGGATGTAGCACTGCTAAATGTCTGTCGCTGCCACAGTCCATACACTTTATTTGCACCTTGCAGTCTCTTGCAATATGCTGGGTAGAGCCACAACATTTAAAACAGATTCTGTTTTCTTTTAAAAACAACTTGCGCTCATCTATGGGTTTTGCTCTGAAACTTTTACACTTTTTAAGTGGATGAGGCTTCTTATGTAAGGGACAAACCTTGTCAGGGCTTTCTATAAGCTTACTGTAACTAGTTTGAGATGAACTAGCCTCTGTAGGGATGTCTGTTTTGTGTACAGTAATCACTTGCCTGTTGTTGCTTTTGAAGCTTTTCTCTTTTTTGAAGCTTACATTGGCAGAAGGTGTGATATCAAAGCTTGGGTCATTTCTTATTTTGGCTTGTTGTCTTACAAACCTTGAAAAAACACTGAAAGGGGGAAAGGCAACTTTATGTTCCTCTTTGTACTTTGCACCCGTTGCGATCCATTTTTCCTGTAGTCCATAGGGTAACTTCTCCACAATGGGGTTGACTCCGCGAGCTGTGTCCAAATATGAGAGTCCCAGTAAGTATCCTCCATCTTTTGCACATTCAATTTCCTGCAGAATGTCACCCAGCTCTCTTAACTTTAGGTTGTCTCTGTTGTTGAGTTTGGGAAACTGCTCAATCTTTTTTAACAGTGCATTTTCCACTACTTCAGGAGAACCGTAAGATTCCTCCAGTCTTTGCCACACAAGGTCCAGTGCTACAGTTGGACTAAAGATGTTGGCTGAGCGGATTCTTTTTGCCTGTTGTCCAGACTCAGCTCCCAGCCATTTGATCATTAAATCTAGCTCTTCTTGGGCTGTAAGGCTCAAATCTTTAATAGCATTTTGAAATGACGTTTTCCAAGACCAGTAATTCTCGGGGTGGTCATCAAACTGCAGAAGTCCTGAACTTAACATTTCTCTCCTTGCGAGATACTTAGTAATCTCCTGTACACCTTGTGCCTCTGTTGATGATTGAGGAGTGTAGAACGGATGTAGTTTGGGGGCGTTCAGTCGCTCTCTGTGTTGTGCTACGTGCGCCACTTTAGACTTAGCTGTTTCTGCACTGTGTGAGCTGTTATTGTCCATTTCTTCTTTCATAGCTTTTTCACACTGTTCACGTGCAGCCTTATGGCAGGCAAGTGGATCTGTTGGCAACAAAAAGCCTTCAAAACTAATGTCTGAATGTTTTTGAACATACTCTGCCGTACGCTGTTTTGAGCTGGCAGGTGGTCCCACTAATGGATAATTCTGTTCAATTTTTGAAAGAACCTCCTCCTCTTCGTAAACTGCAACTTCTGCTTCTGCAGCTGCAACAGCCTTCTGAGAACTCAAAATATGCAAATTAGCCTCGAGTTCGGTTTTCTGCTTCATCATGGCTGCTTCTTTTTCTGAGAACGCCAACTGAGCACGCGCAGCCTCTGCTTTTGCTCGAGCTTTTAATGCTGCAGAACTTGTGGACGAACGTTTGGACGTACATGAGCGTGTAGACTTAGAACATGCGTCTGTATTGCTTGCGTTATCCTTGTTCTCCATGTCATCTGCTTTACCAGACCTAAGGCTCTTGAGTGATGTGCTGAGTCTCTCCTTGTGGTTGCGGCCCGCTGCGCTGTTGTTCTTTACTATGCTGTCCTCGCCCTGAGTTCTCAATTTCTTCAGCAGCTAGACAGCTAGACAACGATGCTCCAATAACCAAACTTCTTTCCTTTTTAGCGGTTTATTGAAGAGTGGCCTCTGACCACTGCCATCACTTTAGCCATCGTAAACTGAAACATACAAAACTGCGTATTAGCAAACGAACTAGCTTTTTGTTACGAGCTAAAATTAAACATTTACACCAAAGTTACATAAAACAAAAGCAATTAACAGATACTTACGAACAAATATAGTCCGACACACAACGTACGAGAATAGCAAACAGCGTAACTATGAACCGCTCGGTGCTGCGTTCCACCATCTTGGATATTCTCTTTATGATTCGACGTCACTAAACAATATAACAAAATATCCACCAGGGGGTGCTCTAGTGCGGTTTTCAACTTACTGGTCAGGCTTTACTTACAAAAAGCAGCACAGCTCACATGAATAAATTTTGACAAATCAATCAATTCACTAGAGTAAAGCTGCTTCTGATTGCCAGGACAACATTATTTTAAAACTTCAGGCCTCAAAGTCAAGGCCTGAAGTTTTAACACTGCAGGCCTGTTATTAAACACACTGAAGGTATTACAGCCAAATGAATATTTTAATTATCGAGTTTTGAGGCTGTTTCTAGTCATTGGCACGACTCTAAAAAGTTCATATCAATACAAATTCTGATTCCTGGTTGAACAGAAAAGTTAAAGTCAACTCCACTAACAGTGAAAAAATTTATATCATGCACAAGAGATAGGAATATTTTGTCATCTCCCTTACTAACAGTGTTTTTCTCAGGTATGAATAAATTACAGATATAAGCACAGATTCTATTATTTTCATGGACAGAATTTCTAGGTGCAGCCGAGGTGTTGAGGGGATCCGATTTGGTGGCCTGAGGATCACATCTCTGCTTTTTGCAGATGATGTGGTCCTATTAGCTTTGTCAGGACGTGATCTGCAGCTCGCTGGAGAGTGGTTCGCATCCGAATGTGAAGCGGCCAGGATGAGGATCAGCGCCTCCAAATCCGAGGCCATGGTCTTAAAGAAGAAACGTGTAGAGTGCTTCTCCGGGTCGGGGAGGGTGTCCTGCCCCTAGTGGAAGAGTTCAAGTATCTCAGGATCTTGTTCATGAATGAGGGAAGAAGGGAGCGGGAGATTGACAGGCGGATTGGTGCAGCATCCGCCGTGAAGCAGGCGCTGTACCAATCCATTGTGGTGAAGAGAGAGCTGAGCGAAAAGCAAAGCTCTCGATTTACGGGTCGATCTACGTTCCCTCCCTCATCTGTGGTCATGAGCTTTGGGTCATGACTGAAAGAACGAGATCACGGATACAAGCGGCCAAAACGGGTTTCCTCTGTAGGGTGGCTGGGCTCTCCCTTAGAGATAGGGTGAGAAGCTCAGATGGCAGGGACTCAGAGTAAAGCCGCTGCTCCTCCACATTA